TTTTTTAGTATGTTCACATACTAATGCACAAGATGACTGTTGTAGTCTGAATAATTATCCTGTCTGTAATGCTAATACCCCATCTCAATCCTTCTATGAAATAGTTCTGCCTCTCAGGAATATTATCATCAACTATGTGTGTGAATTAAAGTGGGCGGTTATACAATTTGAGTAGATGCATGAAAAACATGTAGATTGAACATGTGTGGTATTGTTATATGCCATGCAGGGTATTAGATGTGCCTGTTTCATATTAAGGTTAGCATGCCACCTCATTTTATGGTAGGAAAAACACAAACAATGCTACATTGCCACTACCAGTAACAAGCATTAGTAACAAAACATGAAAAGCAGTTCATGTTATATGGCTGCCATTTATGCTTTCATATATATGGTGGTTTTTCATCTTAAAGTGTTTTCAACAGGTGAAGGGGACTACTTGGATCTGTGTTACCAATAAAATGATGACAAGCTGACTCATAACACTAAATCTGGGCCTGACAATCAGTGGCCTGCCACATCACATGATGCCATTGTGAATGGCCACATTACAATATGACCATTTTGAATGGCCAGTGTTTGTTTTTGGCATTGGAGTATAATGCCCTTATAGGTATAACACCTTCTTTAACCAGAGGTGACTGAAAAGGGTACATTTGGTGGCAGTTATTAATGCAATCAGTCACAAAGCAAAGCTTAGGCTTCTGCAGCTATCAGTTAACTGTGTCAGTGTCAGTATTCAAGGAAGAACGCTATTATCAGCACCACCCCATCCCCTGCTCTGAGACCAGTGCCGCTATGCTGGGATGCCCCTACCATTGACGTCGCCTCTGGCCAGGTTGGCGCCGGTGGCCGGCCGCGCCGCCAACCTGCAGGAAGATGGCCGACCGGCTGACGCAGCTTCAGGACGCCGTCAACGAGCTGGCCGAGCTCTTCTGCAACAGCGTGGGCATCCTGCAGCAGCAGGCAGTGCCCGGCCACTTCCCGGGCTTCGACCGCGGCGGCGGCCGCACGCCGCAGCAGGGACAGCCGGCCGAGGACTACGCCCAGCTGTTCGCCACGCTCATCGGCCGCAAAGTCAAGGACATTGACACGCTGATCGACTCGCTGCCCAGCGAAGACTCGTCCACCGAGCTGCAGGTGAGGCGGGACGGGCTCGCCGAGCCGCAGGGAGGGTAGGGCTCGTCCACTGAGGTAGGGTGGAGAAGGACACCTCCACCGAGTTGCAGGTGAGGCGGGATGGGCTCGTCGAGCCGTAGGGAGGGTAGGGCTCGTCCACTGAGGTAGGGTGGAGAAGGACACCTCTGCCGAGCAGCGGGTGAGGCGGGATGGGCTCGTCGAGCCGTAGGGAGGGTAGGGCTCGTCCACTGAGGTAGGGTGGAGAAGGACACCTCCAGCGAGCTGCAGGTGAGGCGGGACGGGCTCGTCGGGCCGTAGGGAGGGTAGGGCTCGTCCACTGAGGTAGGGTGAATGATGACGCCTCCACCGAGCTGCAGGTGAGGAGGGACGGGCTCGTCGGGCCGTAGGGAGGGCAGGGCTCGTCCACTGAGGTAGGGTGGAGAGGGACGCCTCCACCGAGCTGCAGGTGAGGCGGGACGGGTTCGTCGAGCCGTAGGGAGGGTAGGGCTCGTCCACTGAGGTAGGGTGAAGGGTGACGCCTCCACCGAGCTGCAGGTGAGGAGGGACGGGCTCGTCGAGCCGTAGGGAGTATAGGGCCCGTCCACTGAGGTAGGGTGGGGAAGGACACCTCCACCGAGCTGCAGGTGAGGCGGGACGGGCTCGTCGAGCCGTAGGGAGGGTAGGGCTCGTCCACTGAGGTAGGGTGAAGGGTGACGCCTCCACCGAGCTGCAGGGGGCTTAGAACTCGCCTACGGGAACAGGTTGACAGGAACCGTTTAGTATTTTTTGGCGACTTGGGCTGAGAAAAGATCGAACGTTGCGACCCACCGCCCAAGCTCCGGGCTGAATTAATGCGCATGTGCACATATAGCCATGAAGTTTTCATCGGTGCTGGTGATTGGTGTCGCTGTGTGGCAATGGTTGGCATGTTGGCGATCTCCTGGCTCCGTGTAATCCGCATTCACATGAATGATATCTTGCATTGTGCGGTGGCATTTTGTTCTCCGTGTTCTGGTTCGGGCGGTCGGTGACGGTGCCGTGCCAGTTGCAGCTGTCGGCCCTCGAGCTGCTGGAGCGCGAGAACGAGGCGGGCCGGCCAGCGGCTGCAGGAGGTGGTGGCGCGCGGCCAGCTGCTGCTGCAGAAGATCCAGGCAGCGCTGCACGACATCGCGCAGAGCCAACTGGAGACCCAGCTGCTGCTGTCCGGGCACCGACCGGACGGTTGACGAACGCCCGACGGCGCGCTCTGCGCCGGACTCAGCGCTGAGCGGCGGCGCTCGGCCGCTCCGGGGCTGGCGGCGCCGGGCGCACCGGACGCAGTCAGGGCGCGCCCGGCTGCCGCCCAGATCTCCCGGCGCGCAGACGAGGTGGAGGCGCGGACTGCGCCGGCGGACCTGCCGTTCGTCAGCGTAGTACGGACTGCTGGGAGCTGGCGGCGGGCGGTGGCAAGGATGCTCAGCCGCTGGCGGGCCGCGGAAAGCGGACTTGGCCGAACTCGGCGGCCGACGACGGCGCATGCCCAGTAACGTGGCGTGGACGGGTGGAAAATGCTTCCGAGGAATGAACGATGGTCGTGGAACGGCGTCGGCCAGCCAGACCGCTAGCATGTCGGTCTGATTGGTCATCAGCTGTCATCGCCATCCCTGCGCTGCCGCTCATGTACGCCTTTGGTATGTGCTTTGTACCCAGCCAACACATATGGAGATGTGCTGTGTTGTGGTCTGCGATGTGTAATACACACGTGTGTCTCAAAGGCTCGTTTCAGCGCCATCGACATGCGCTATACAGGTGGTCGTTAAGTGACGTCAATTTTGCACTTCTCATGACTATGTTGTCATCTTTGTGAGCGATGCTAGTCGCTTGAAGTGTTTACAGCGTTGCTCACTGATGTCGACTGAATAAAACGTCATCGCATGCGTTTGAACAAAAGTGGAACGAGGTGGGGTTTAGAAGATAGTCTGAAAAATTGTCCTGTCTTGGGGCATACACGGTGTCTTGAAAAACTTAAATGCTCTGATTTTAACGTGTATCATTTACTGCGGACAACAGTAATGGAGTGGTTTACCAGAAGATGCGCACGAGATGCTGCCTTTTCATTCCAGTGACGGCGGCGGGGAAGGGTGCTGTCGGCAAGGGCATGTCGATAAAAAAGGCCGTTTGACTCTACATTTCGCCTTTTTTACATAGCGGGAAATAGACACGTATACCTGAACACCTATCGACTAAATGTGGTCGGCAAAAAGAAACCACTAAATGCGTTTCGGTTATTTACTCGGATGCCCATAGTTACAGGCCACATTTGGTCCACCGACGCATAGAGGGCAAGTCCAGATCCCTTTAGCTTCGTGGAATTAGTTCCGTGCTGTTTGGAATGCCGCCCAGCGATCGCTGCATGTAGTAATCTAATGACCCGTTGAGTGGTGGCGAAAATGTTCGTCGGTAGAATCCATATGATAGTGCTGCGTCCATCCAGTCGGCGGTGGTGCGCTTGCCTGTAGTAAATCGTACTATTATGGCGGTAGCAAGCTCTCAGACGCTGTGAATGCGCGCTATAATGTATTTAGCTTCGCTGGGCAGGCGGCGATGCCATTCATCAATTTTGGATCGGTCATCAACGACACCTAAGAAGTGTCCAAGGCAACAGCTATTCGTTAGCACCAACGACGTCATTTCGGAGGCTACGGACTCCTCGAATACGTAAGGCACGTGTCAACTGATTCATACCATTGGCCTGATAAAAAACTTAACGAATTGAAGACTTCAAGCAAATGCAAAACAATGCGCAAAATAATATGACGCTAACAACGAAATCAATATGAAGAGCACGGGAAGATTGCGATCCATAATAACCGGCCCCAATGCTCATATTCTTACGTGACTGACGTGTACACAGGAGAAAGATAAATGTAGCCACTTCAACATGATTTATGCGCGTTTGTGACAGTGCCGCTCGTCTGACGTTACGTTCACAGTTGGCTCTAAACCAACGTGATTTTTGGCCTATAACGGTTCACGATGTTAAAGAAGAAGGGCAAAGGAAAGAAGAAAGGCAAAAAGAAAAACAAACAGCCCAAGAAAGACCCAAAGATCATTGTTCTTGAGTACCTGTGAGTAATGCAACTGGGCTATCATATTGAGGACCTGATTCGAGTCCCGGTTTGCTGCATATCCCCTATATCACACGTTAATGTATTAAAATTTTCGCTGTCACTCCAAGAAGGCTTTCACGGCGTGCGAAGCTCTCCTTTAAGTCAGTCGTTTTTTTTTAAAAAAAGAACATGCCTATCACTCATACAGCGTCACTAAACTTCCGATTGACATATTTAAACCCAATAAGTGTTAAACCCGCTAGGCGCGCAGACTCTTCAGCCCAAAAAACCATGCCATTTGTCTTTGCCACGTCACTCCTCGGTGTCACTGCAGTTGTCACTGCAGTGGCCTCGCCAGCCATCGGAGCGGCGGCGGGCAGCAGCATGCTCAGCCCACGCACCGGCCCAGTGCCTTGATTCGCAGACTGGACTGTGGCCTGCGCAAGAGGGGACGCCTGACCGAAAACCGCGACGAGTGGCTGGCAGACAACCAAGAGCGACAGACCCAGGTACCTAGGTAATTACTGATCACCTGCCCGACATCTCGTCGCACTGTCATGCTTTGCCCAACAACGCGCCTCACCGCAACACACAAAAGTATCACCAGCGTGGCGAGGCCAGCCGCTGGGGTCAGGCCGACCATGTCACTGACGTAGCCTGACGTGACCTCGCTGCTGTGTGTTTGACCTGGGCCGCACGGCTGCAGGTGGACACGCTCCGGGTGGAGCTGGACGCCACCATCGGCTACCTGCGCCGTCAGGAGGGCATCGAGAAGAAGGCGTGCGAGGACGATCTGGCGGCGCGAGACCGCGAGCTCAGCGACACCGAGCGGCTGCTGCAGGACGAGCAGCGCACCTACGGCCGTAACGAGGCCGGTGAGTGGCTGGCGGACTGGGCGCGGCTGTAGAGCCACACACGGCGTCCGACTGACAGACTGCCTGACGGTGGACTGTTAGTGGTGCGCGGTTTACATGCGCAGCGGCAGGAGTTCGAGACCGGATGGAGTGGAAAACACTCTGTATTGAGCAGTTTTCGGCGCTGATAAACACCGATTACTGCACATCACGAGCAGCCAGTGTCACTACACACGTGTCATGCACATTCGGGACCGTGCTAACGTGTCATGTGGTGTGCCGAGCCTGCGACGACGTGCTCAACAGCGGTTGGCATCGGCCACCAATCAGCAAGTGCCGGCTAACTGAGAGCCGACCGTAGCTAGGCGCAATCAATGAAGCACAGTCGTACGTGTATGCTCAAACGCGACCAAATCACTGCATTGGACCAAAACGTCCGCAGCAGAGCTTGCAGTCGTCCTGTCTGCCATGAAGCTTGCTCATGGCGTTGAACTTCCGCATTTACTATATGTTACGGGTGGGTACGTTCAAAGTTCTATGCATGATGACTGGCGCCGCCAACAGTGACCAAACATCTTGCTCTAGAGCTATCGGAGGAGCTGCGAGGCGTGGCGATTGAAGCGACCGACACGGAAGAACAAGTCAAGTTCTATAAGAATTATCCAGTCGTTCAAAACCTTGAGAAACGGGAGCAGATTAAAGTTCTGAAATCCGAAATTCGCCATGTGGATGAACTCCACGATGCATTCGAAGGTGACTGACAAATGGCCCGCTGATGACAAACACAAATGTTTTGCCATTCCGCACATGAAGCTCCCTGAGTGGGCTGTAAAAACCGGGTGGTTTTCCACTTATCAACTTTTTTCACGGATGCCACCACCCTTGACGTTGCGGATACACCACCTGGATGTGACGGCGGCACAAGCCGCTGCGTCCGCCAGGACGCCCGCGCGCGTCCCACGTTATCCTCGCACATGATTAACCCACGCCGCCCGTGGGTCTAGCCCAGCTGGACGGCAACTTCCGCTACATGCAAGGCTTCCTGACCGGTCACCACTCGCATCACCTGGAGCAAGCCAAGCAGTCGGCGGCTCACTGGGCGCTGCAGACCATCTCGCTGAGCGACCACAGCGACCTGTCGGCGCAGGAGACGCTCTGCTTGGAGAGCGTGCTGACCAGCGTGCAGGGAGACGGGCTCCGCGACCAGCTCGACTGGATCGGTGAGTCGGCGGCTGCGGTCCGATCCATCCCCGACGGCGGCGGCCCAGGGCACCCGGGGGCCCCGCTCGATGTGTCGCTCCCGGCGGAGCGGTGTGCGGGGACCGGCAGGAGCGCCGGCTCCGACGCGTGGTTAATTTCACTGTGACGCGGACCGCCGCCGACGGCTGCGCTGCGCTACTCCAGGCGCCGCCTCAGCGTGCTCACGCCGCCGGCAGACGGGGACAACGCGGTGCTACAGAGAGAGCTGGTGCCACTGCGGCGGCCCGAGCCGGAGCCTGAGGTGGAGCCGGAGCGGGAGCCGGAGCCGGGGTCGGAGCCGGAGCCGGAGCCTGCGATCAGCGCGACCGCCTCTGACGCCAGCGACGGCAGCTGCCTGCCGCTCCGTCTCCACTTGGAGAGCATCATCGACCTGCTGGCGACGTCACGGCCGAGCGACGGGCAGCGCGCGCTCCTCGATCAGCTGCGCGACGAGACGCTGGCACAGCTATGGCCCGACGAGGACGAAGAGCGGGCGCGCGCGCTGGCGGAGCGCGCCGGCAGGCCCGGCCGCGAGCCGGCCGCCAGCGACGGCGGCACGGCCGAATCCGACTCCGGCTCCGAGGACTCTAGACTCAGCCGAGACGAGCTGCTGCCGTTTGAGACGCCGCTGCAGGTGGGTGGAGGAGACTGAGACGGAGGCTGGCCGGCTGAGACCTGGTCGGGGTTCATTCCCGTGGCAAGTGCCGGACTGTCCGGCGCTGCAAGACCACCGACACTGCTCGCACCGTCCGTCTTTGCCACCAGCCCGCGGTTCCACATTAGTGCTACAGCAAGTATTTCTACCGATAGGAGTGCTGCGATGTTACCTCTACTTCCAATACTTTGGCACGACGTTAGTGCTACGCGACAAAACTCATGCTGTAGAAACGTATACTCGTCACTGCTCTTACTGCAAACACTTCTACAGTCAGTACTTCTGTCGCAAAAACTTGTGCGCGACAAAAGTGCGACACTAAATACTTGTGGTCAAGTCCTTACTGTGGAAGTAATGACTGATCTATGTTTTTATTGTGTAGCATTCGTGTGGTGCATGCGTTTTGCAGAAGCAATAACGCGTATACGGAAGTGCTGTATAAGTTTTCGCAGTAGATGCAATGACGGTTACGTTTTTTGATGGGGTAAATTTTGTCGTGCAGCACTCACGTGTATAATTCTTCGCAGCAGAAGTAATGCTGCATCTGAGTAGTCTGCATACGCTTTAGCAGCAGAAGAAATGTCGCGTATAACTAATGCCGTGATACTCCTGTCGGTGGTTTTCCCCGGAGCACTCATGTCGTGACATCCCACCCCGCGGCGGGGGAGCCCAGGTCCGCCCGCCACCGTTCGTGACGTCGGCCTCCTCGGCAGGCGGCGACGGCCGACCGAGCCCGCCAGACGCTGCGGCCGTTCGAGCGGTTCGCAGCGCGCCGCCACTGGTGGCGCGTGCACCAACCGGAGCCGAAGCCGCGCACGTGGCCCGTCAGCACGCCGCAGCTGACGCTGTACGCCGACCGGCCGCCCGTCTTCGACCTGGCCGGGCCCAAAGTGATCAACGAGAGTCCGTCTGTCTCGTCGGCGCATATCTCGGACGAGTGGGAGCTTTCGAAGGCCGACTGGCTGGACCACCTGCGCCGGCGCTCGGCGCTCACCGTCACGCCCGTCGACTCGGCCGAGGCAGTCGGCTCGCGACCGGACAGCGACGCCGCGCTGGTCGAGGTCGCCTCGGACAGCGCGGCCACAGTCAGCTCGTCCGGCAGCGCCGCCACGAGCGGTGGCTCGTCCGGAAGCGTTACTGCAAACGCCACCTCGTCGAAAAGTGTGGTTGAAAAGCCAGTGTCTTTCAAAAAAGTGATCGCAAAAGTCAGTTCGTTAAAGAATGGCACTGCAAAGGCTAGCTCGTCCAAAAATGTCAATGTTGACGTCAGGTCGTCCAAAAACTTGACTGGAAAAGCTAGCTCATCCAAAAATGTGACTGAAAAAGCTAGCTCATCCAAAAATGTGACTGAAAAAGCGAGCTCAACCAAAAATGTGACTGAAAAAGCAAGCTCATCCAAAAATGTGACTGAAAAAGCGAGCTCATCCAAAAATGTGACCGAAAAAGCTAATTCGTCGAACAACGTTTCTGGAAAGCCTAGCTCATCCAAGCACATATCTGACAAGACCAACTCATATAAGGACGTATCCCTAAAGGCCGGCTCGCCCGCACACGAGACCACCGTATAGACTGTGGAAGACTCTGCTCCAGCCTGTTCGCCCATGCGCGCCGCGCCGGCGTGTCGATGGATGCCCCAGAGCGGCAGCGGTGCGCGCCGCCCGACACCCGACCCAAGGCTGGCGGCGGTCACGTGCGACGACCAAAATCCCGGCCTTGTGCGAGTCAGTCTTCCCTTACTTAACCCACGCTGCTGTTGCCGGCGCATTCAATGCACAACCAGGCCGCTGTCCTCTTCCGCTCATGATCTGCATACACGCAACACGAGCTACTAAGTTTCTGGAACTCCTTTATCATTTCCAAAGCGAGAACCACACATACACGAATACATCGTCTGAACCACCCCTGTATTACAGGTCGTTACGGAACCATTGCACGTTTACGTGTACCTCACGTCAACACTCCATCAGGTAGCATCTGGTCGCGACTGTAATGGATTCCAAACATAAAACGTAACAAATTTACATTTCAGCTAGCATACAGCATTAACTGTCCCTGCGTGATACACACTGCGTGCGCAACGCGCCGGCTGTGGCAAGTATGGAAACCTCGGATCAGCGCTCCTGAGTAAACACGCAGAGCTGACCAAGTCACCCCGCTTTTCCCCCCCAGCGCGCTAACATACTAACCCACAGCAGATCCAGGCAGAGCTCTTTCAACCTTGTACTGCACGTACGACATCCTCCACCAACTACAAAACAACGCGCGACGATGGCATTGCGCTTCCAACCAAGGAACAAGCACGTTTCACGCCGCGCGGTTGCGGTTACGATTCCCATAATGCCGCTTACCGAACTATGATGAGCAGCGCTCAGCTGTGCCAGGCATCCGTTATCACTTCACCGCGGCAAATTCGGAAACTATTTCTGTCCGACAAATATCACCTTATCTTTCGGGTCGGACTGGGGTTCGCCTAGTTTGGGGGCCGGAGCGGGCGATTCCGAGCCTGGGCCTTCTGAAGCCGCCGCCGCCACCGCTGCCAGCTTCTTCTCCCGGCCTCCCAGGTACTCGTAGTTGATGAAGCGACCCAGCTGAGGACGGTTCAAGAGCATCGATAAAATCATTAGACATGAGCTTCCCGAGCCATGCGGTGAACATCTTGCACCACGTGAAATCTTAGCAACTTGTACATTCAAACAAGAAGGTATCTAATAACGTGCCCAGCATAAGGGGAGCTGAAAATGGACGCTACAAGACAACGAGAAGAGCGGTAACTGGATATGAGGTAGGTTAGCTTTGCTGGAACGGGGTACGGGACAGCATCTGGCAGACTGCGCAGCTCAGGTCTCGTTAGACATGAACGCGCCAGGCTCGACGGAATACAGGTGGCCAGGAAAACGTACTGAAAGTTGTGACAGGACTGTGAGGAAAAGGTATATCAATATAACAATGAAACATCGAAGAAATACCACGTGAACACGAATGAATGATCGTTTTAATTATGTTATGTAGTTTGTGCTACAATTTCTGCACGCGGACTCGGGCATAACACAGGGACCACAGTACACCCTGCAAGTGTTATCGGACAAAGTGACTCTTATGCAATGGGACAATGTGCAGCTGACACAGACACACTATAAAATAGGACGTAATCTAGCAAGAAGGGCAAGTGATATGACGTCAGATTAACAACTCATCAAGGTAAGAAGTGACACCCGACACCAGCACACGTGAAGAACGGCTTGATAAGTGCCCATTGGTATGTACCTGGGTGATCTGGGCGCACTCGTTCGTAAAATGACAAGCGAACAGCAGCAGGTTCCTGGGTTGCACCATCCAGGCGAATCTCATGAACACCGCACTGTAGCACGTCAGAGCTGGAAACACACGGAGCATTTCACCACGACACGAAAATACATCAAAGTGGTCACAATGAGTACCCATCAGTACATCTCGCCCAAACAAAGTAAAAACACATCGAAATTGAAGACAGTCGTTTCAAGCGTGACTATGAGTAGCGGGACTAAACAGACACTTCGAGGGCAAATTGTCCTTTTTACATATGAAAACATATCCCGCGTGTGGGGCGAAAACGCAATATGCATCATATAATATCATATGTATATTATATGATGGACATTATCATGATGGACATTATCATATGTATATTATATGATGGACATTAAATGCAGTTAAATGTGATGCAGTCCAACATGGCCACGCACACGCTAATATATATATATATATATATATATATATATATATATATAATGCACACGCTAATTTATATATATATATATATATATATATATATATATATATATATACATACATCCCTCTCTCTTCCTCTCCTAAAGACAACAGACCACCCAAGATATTTCATCATTTATTAAGTATGATCCCCAATATGCAGCATTCGAAAAAGTCGTGTTATGTTTTTATGGCGTCAGAGTTGCTACCACACTGACCGTGTCACAACTGTCAATGCAACGGACGGGCTGCTTTACTTGTAGTACTCCAGCTCGCTGCAAGGCAGCTTAATCTATTGGTGTGGTATAAACATGATCATTAGGTGTGCGTGTTTTTATCCTTTCTCCTATTATTCCCGTACATTTTTCGGCGATGACGGGTTTTTACATACACATGCACTCTCGGTTACGGCGCCATTCGTAAGTTCTTTGATTTTCAGCCTCGTGTCCATCACGACTAGTACAACTGTTTAAATGGCAGCATTGTGTAGCACAAAACATGGTTGGTGACCGAGACTGAATTAAAGCATTATGCTGATTAAAAGCCAACTACTGTATAGGTCAATGGACATATTTTTTACCTAGAAAACAATATGACCACCGATAATGTGGCATGCGCGTGATCTTCCTGTGGCATCATGCATCTCTGGGTGACTTCAAATAAGGCAATACGAAATAGTCTGTGCAAGTTCGCGGACATCTAGTTCAGCAATGAGAGGATGTGACGTCTTACAAAGGAAATAACTGTGATGTGACAGGAATGATCCACAAACAGCTATCTCGGATCAAAACTCCATACAAATAAGGAAAAGCCCCTGTAAAACTTCAATCATAAGGTGCCTAGAGCAAAACTCAGACTGGGGCCGCAGTGGAGGTGTTTTCACTTTATCCAGAGATGCTAAATGCTCAAAAGTCAATTTTCTCTGCAAAGCAGCATATGGTCAAAAATTATATCACAGTCAGTTGAGAGGGCTTAGAACATGGTATTCCATCTTCGCCGAGAATAATCTCCAAACGCCCCCCCCCCCCCCACCCCCATCCATTCCAATGCCTTTCCAATCAAGCTACCATGTTCTAGAAGACATGCTCACAGCACTTGCAATCAAATGGCAAAGGTGTGTGTGTGTGTGTGTGTGTACTTGCACAATTGTTGCAGTGACAAAAGGGCACAAGCATACTTGCTGCACATGTTGGTTTCCTGTCTCTCCAAGAAAATGGTTTCTTTGGTCAGGGTGGACAAAAAATGTTGTAGAAATAAATACACTTCAACCATACACAAACTCCCACACAGCCCCTCCTAAGGCCTAGATGCTGCAGTACCATTCCAGTATAAAAAACAAACTGCAAGGGAAAAGACACCAATAAATAAAGACAGCATGTCATAGATTTGAAAACTTTTAGCTCAAAAATGTTTTATATGCTTAGCTCACATAACACACACATTTTCGAGCTTGATAAAAAATGTCTATGGAAGTCAAAAAAGCTCAGAACAAGCCTAGAAACTTCAAATGATGACAGCACATGCAAACAAATACTCACCAACAGTCATTTTTCCTGAAATGATTTCTGGGTCTTTCTTGATATCTGCTAATGCTGCTAGTGGAATGCCCCAGTTTGCCACAGGACCCCAGAAGTGGGTGCTGTTGGATTAGAAACACTGTTAAGAGCAGTTATTTAACAACAAAAATACTGGGTTCAATACCTGGTATGTGTACTGTATCATAACATGATGCACTCAAGTCTGCAAAGAAGGACTTTAAGACATAAGGCATGGGTGGAGATTCAGCGAGAAATACAGGATTCTCTCTGAATGTTGATGCAGTTAAATGTGATGCAGTCCAACATGGCCATTAATCAATGAAGTTAAAATTAAAAGAATGCTGAAAAATGCACACAAGATACTCACTTCACGACATTTGAAAAACACAAGTTATAGTTAAGTTAAGTATAGTAACAAGTTAAACAGCACAAGTTAATGCAACACAAGTCACAGGCAAATACAGAAGAGCATGACATGTTGTAAAACATAGAAATATGTGTATCACAATCTGCAAAGGCACCTCATGAAGTAGTCCCTCGTTTCTTTGCTTTTCATGACATCAGCAATCTTCTTGGCTATTCTTGAAGCAGCCATGATGTGTGCAATATATATTATAACAAACCTGTTGGAAAAAACAATGAGCACATGGTAGGGCCAGAATACATGCACATGCCATGACACATGATGATGAACAATATGACAAGACAAGGTTTGCCTACCTTGTAATGCAATTTGGCAATTTGGCAATGCAAGAAATATCATTAATATAACTATAGAAATATCATAAATATAATCACTTGCCAATACAAGAAATAAAACAATGTAAAAGATCCCCACATCATCATGATGTACAGACAGCTATCTAACAGATAACACTGCACACCATATCCACTTTGAGACTATATTGCATCTGCACTGGCCCTAATATAGACCTCATATAAAAATTGTAAAAAACAGAAGCATGCATCAGATATTTTGTTTCAGCATGTTGTTCCCTGGGATGTGGTAAATGTAGAAAAGAAACAGTTCACCAGGCTTGCTTTTATTGAATAGCAGTGTTCATATCAACCACTACCTCTTCTTCAGCCTTAGTTGGACAATGATTTGAAAACAGACTTATGCATATGTTAAGAAAACCTAAACAATCTTAGTCACATGCAATTTAAGAACCATTACTCTGAGGCATCACAAATAAAAATGACCAGGTTTGCATTCTATCTGCAAACCAGAAATGCAAATCCTGACAAAAGCACATAATGATAACACAAAACTTCATTAGACAATGCAAGAAAAATACACACAAAACACCAGCTATGGCGGTGAGTTGAAATAAAAACAGCCCAATGAGGGGCCGATATCCAACATTTTTGTCATGCAGAACAGTACTTGGGTTGTCAAAACATGACTACCTCTACTAGCTATCTTTGTGTCCTTATAAAATGGCATGCATCATGCATGGTTCTTCTATTGTTTTATACCATAATGGCCCTTGAATTGCCCTATATGAATTGCCCTTGAGCTAATTTCATGTAGCATTCTGGAGCTTGCTGCACCAGGATCTGGGAGAATAATTCAATATTGCTTTCAGATTGCAGATGTGTGGAAAGGCTGCCTGGGCGATGGCAGCATTCTTTTGATATTTGAGTCTGCAACTAACTACCCTGGAAGCCAGGCACACCAATTGAATTTACAAAACAACGAATTAGTTCAGGGACAGATATAAAAAACTGGGTGTAGAATAAATGTTGCGATGCAGCCCGGCAGAGCAGCTGGTTTGTGATCACAAGCCTTGATTACGATTCAGCGCGTAGCCATTTCCACCGGCAAGGACCAGCTTTTCAATACTGCCTAAACAACCTTGCAATAGCTTGCTTTTCAAATGAAAAATAAAATTAAAAAGCGAATCAGCCACCTCCCAACAAAAAGTCACACATTCAAAATCCACAATGACCTGCTCCAAGGCCTTTAAACAACCAAACTAACCAAACTAAGTCGACAGCCAACTCCGCTCGCGAAAACACGTGAAAAGCTGTATGATAGCCTTGGTGAAAAGCGTGAAATGTCGGAAACGTAACACACGCGCTGTAATGGGTAGCTGGATTCCCACGCATTCGCAGTAAAGAATCAACGGTGGAAGTTCCGCCCTTCGACCAATCACACATTTACAACATTTTGTTCAGCGAATCAGGGGACAGAGACGTCGAGACCTTGAGTGACATCTTCGACAGGCACCTCTTGGCTCGTGGCAAGGCCACCTATGTTTGCGTCGCAATGGTCGCCGTCGTAACGTAAATTGGGAAGGACCGTGAGGAAGCTGTGCCCGTGATATTACCGAAATGGGATAGTGGTTGGTTGTGAGTGTCGTCATGTGAGATGTCTGTAGTTAGTCCTTTGTTACCTGCATTAATGCTTCCATTGGTTCGGATGTAGTGTTTACCCTGGAGGTGGATTCAACCAATATGTTGTGAATAATGCAGATCCCTGGCAACTTCGGGGCTCGCCCAGTCCTGGGATGCATATGCGTGGAGGACAGTCGCCTCATACCTACTCCGGGGTTTTTTGTTATCCGGGATCGTGAGTGTATGGTTGAAACATGAATGTTTCTTAACCTCTGCTTACTCCCTGCAATGGAGGCTGGAGAAATTATGCTGGGCCTGATACTTGCCTGACCAGAGGCAAATTTATGTTGAAGATATATGTTTCTTTGTCATCATAAAGAGTTCTCATACTGTACAGTCCAACCTTGTTAAGCTCAATTGCTCATTAAGTTTGGGTGCCTACCTTTTAATCCACCATTCCAGGGTGGGTTGGGTTTAAGTAACTTAAGGTGCCAATACTGTCATACTTACACTACCCATAGATACCATTTATCACAGGATGAACCACAACCTCTGTGCCTACTATTTGAGCTTGATGATATGATGAACTGCTACTTCTTTTTCAAGCTCTTGACATGTCTTTATGATTGCTGCTTTTTTGTTTTTGTTGTGTAACTGGTATCCAATTGACTCAGGTGAAATATGAAGTCATACATATAGGATGATTTGTGGTGAATACCTCATATACATAGCATACATGACATGACTCTTTGCCACTAATGTCATATCCCCTGCTGCCATGTGGTTGTTTCTTGTCCCACATTATGTGTGGGCTGTTGGTCTGTGGTACTCATGCTGACTTAACTACACCACATTCTGTCTGACTGCACCATCTCTCACACTGCTTGATCTACTTGTCAGTGACTCAATGCACATCACATGCCAAGACATCTTAAATGTCTTGCTCTGGACTTCTTTTCTACACATTGATAGGTGATTGTGGGTGATGCTAATATGACACAGTGAGACTTGTTAGGGTTGGAAGTCCATGTTAGATTTAGTCAATTCAAGTAATTGTGTTTTATTACAGGCAATGGCAGATTTTGGCATCAGCACCCTGTCAGCCTCCCAGCTACCCCTTCTAGGAACTACACAGACATCTCCAAGGAAAACAATATGGAGGGTGAGTTTCATAAATATCTGTTTTTTCTGTAGTCAGCCGCATACTAGTTATGAGCATCAGCCACACACATAGATATGCAAAGTATGCAAAGGCTGTATTAGTGTATTGTGTGGATCCAGGCTTAAACAGTTTTAGATTGTTTTGAAATGTGATATGGGAAAATATAAGGCACTTTGCCCTGGGAGGTTTCAAAATGTTTTGCCTCATTCTGACAGATTTTGTAACTTTTGTTGACCTTTAGTTTGAAGTGCTGGTCTTGCTTTAAGGCTTACTTGGTTATGTTAGTAATCAAATTAATATTGGGCATACACTAGAATAACATGAGAATTTGTTCTTCATTCTAGTCAATCTCATTTATTTTTTGATAATGATTTCTTATATAGGTTGCATGGAGACCCCAAATACAGGTACTGTTCATTCAGCTGCCCCACAGGCGAGAATTGCAAGAATGGTGTAATTATGTGTCTACAAGGTGGAACAACATGGTTTGGAAATTGTGAAAAAATGTTATTCAGATATATTGCAAGCATTGAAGCAACCATCTCTGCCCAATTTTCAATGAATTATGGATTCTGTATAATATGAAAAGTCTATAGGCTGCTGCATTTTATTGAGCACATGCTTTTACAGAATGCAATACTCAGGCACTGATGCTGCAGATAGTTTTAGGCAGCTAAAACCAATCTTGTCATTAGACCATGAGTGAACCATCAGGCCAGTGCCCATATCACCAAACTGTGTATTCAGAAAAGATTGCCCTGTCATTGGCCAACAGCCAGTACCTTAAAGAAGGGTGACTAGCCCCACAGAGAGTTCAAGTTCATTCTTTTGCTGGACATAGGTTGGTGTGAATGCAGCTCATAAGTCCTTTGTTGAACCTTGGACAGAGTCCCTATTTTAGCTGTGTCAGGGATGATGTGGAGACCACATTACACGCATACCATGGTGCTATCTTTTCAGCGATGGAATCAACTATCTAGGCTTCAAAAGAATATGGCATGTTTGGTGCTGGTCGCGGTCACATTGGTCGTCATTTACGTCCTCTCACTGGAACACGACTCAAGTGTAAGTGGACCAGTGTGATTTTGTGCCTGTCCTGTGAAACTTCCGGGCTGGTTTGCGGGGCCTGTGAAGTGCGGGGTGGTCGGTGGAGGCGCGTGCTCGTCCCGTTCGCACAGTGGCGTCACACCGTCGGTGTTCATGTGTGGTGGGGGTCACGTCCGTGTGTGGTGGGACCCGCTCAGCTGCTATCGTCCGCCATTCCCTGCACAGTGTCTGTCAAAAGCGACCGCACGGCCTGCCATGATCTCCAGCTGGCCACGACCCACGCTCTCGCTCTGGTAGTGCCGTCGGCGGGGCAAACACTTCTCGCGTGTCACAGACCATTTGTGTATGCTTGAGCTTTAACCCGGGGCTTTCACTCCTCTGGTGCACGTGGCAATGCCTGGCGAGCTCGGCCCTCGTGTTTTCAGGTTGAACAATCCACATCGAAAGCCAACGATGTGCGGGATGCATTGGAAAACGTGCCGCCGGCTCTTGCTCCGGACGCGGCGAAGCCCGCAGAGAAGAAGCTCGTAAGTCGATCATACTGCCACCTGGTGGTGCGCGGCTTGGCACCTCCCGACGGCCTTGGGCGCGTGGCACCGCTTGTCGACGTAACGTCCCCGGACAGGGCAGTGAACGGGCGGTCTTGTTTTGAACGTCTCGTGTGCAGTAGAGAGTTTATGTCTTCAATATTCCATCAATGAACATGTTTTAAAAGCTGTGAAGTGTATAAGTAAAACGTGCCATGACATGTGACACTGACCCTGCCGCCATGTACGACACTTAAAGCTTGCAATTACCTCTTATGCTCTCTTCATCAGCTTAAACCATAGCGCTGCAGTTTTTACCAAGGGAACAGGTGCCTCCTTGAATTGTTCCAGGGAGTGTTCACATTTTATAGGACTGAACTGAAAAGGCCATCTTGAAGATCGTTTGGTACAGTTCAGAGCCTTGCCTTTCTTAAGATCTAAATCTCTCTTGTTTCTGAGCTACGCGCCTGCGATGATGTGCGGACTTTTTCGTGCAGACGATTTCATGGTCTTCCAGGCATCCATGACACCATAATGGTATCATTCAAACCTGCCATTCCAATGATGATGCAGCAGTCAAGATCAAGAAAATATAACTCATAATATAACTAGTATAACAATAACATAATATAACAATATAACTCATTAAAGTCAGTGATTCATGTTTTACGTGCGCGAGGACGATTTCCGGACGTGTTAATTTATCAAAGTGAGTGGCACATTTTTAAAGTTAATGTACATATCCACAGCAGTTACATGTGGAAGCCTGTCAGTTTGCACCAGCTTCTTAAAGAAGAAGAAAAACTTTTGTGAAATAGGAGGGATACAGTTGCACCTCTCTCTTACATGCTGAGGTGTAAAATCCGCGTAGAATGTACCATTCCGTGCAAAGGTAACCTTTAGTTATTTGGTTATCTGCTTACAAGAGTGATCTGTCCATAGCACTTGTGTCTATCGCGTCCCGCCTACACTCACGTTCTCGACACGCCAAAATTTGATTGGCAAACAGATGCATTTCAGTAACGTGAAACAAGACATAAGGTACTCCTTCACTCATCATTCGAGACAGTGGAACAACCTTTCTTCAAATATGCTGAGGTAGATGCCCTTCCGTTGGGAATGTCTTACCTGCTCGTTTTAATGAGCAAGCATTGCAAGCCTGCTGCACTCTTGGGGTACACTGTCCCAAGCTCCTGTACCTCTGGGCGGAGAGCGTCCTTCTCCCGATTCAGTTTGAACGCGTGGCAAACGAAACGCCCGTCATGTCAGTGTCATGCGTAATGCAGGTTGATTGAAACAGCGTTTCTACTTGAGCTGACTCTTCATTGACCATGCGATTACACTTCTGTGCGCGTACTCGGTGCTCAATGAGCTCATCCACGCCCAGCCAACCTTACTACCTCCGGCGTTCGGAGAGCCCCCCCCCCCCCCCCCCCAGATGAATAGGAAACTACACTCCTGCTCCGATACGTTTCCCCGGTCTATCTCAGCGGGCAATGTTGTCTTCAGGCATCATTTTAATTTTTTGGGGGGGCCTCGGTGATTAAAAACACAATTTGGTATCCGACCTAGAGTCGATGTTATGCAGCTTTGGACGTCGTTGGACGCGGATGACGGGGAATGAAGGGTGAAGGTGATGTGCGCGGCTAAAAAGCTGCCACAAAGCTCTTGGTATGTAGCCGTGAGTTGGGCTTCGGGCTGCAACGCGACATTTGCGACAGGGATGTGCGAAACGCGTAGTGTTTTTTCTGATCATTGCTGGGCGATTACCGCCATAGGTTAAGTCATGTGGTGGTGGTCGCCAGGTTTCCGTACCTGCTTCATCGAATACTCATGTCTAAGTGGAGGTGGGAACATTTCAAAGGTTCTTCTGATCGTAGCGGCTGATAAATTCGTCCCGTAGTTTGGTGGTTACATCCGACAGGTTAATTCTCCGATAGCATGTGGCAGAATATCGCGGTGGACGCGTGTTGTTACAGGCCACAGAACTGAAATATCGCTGAATAATGCCAAAACTCCCCGGCAATAGCTCCGAAATAGGCCAGAATTAACAAGAGATATGAATTATGCAATGAAAACATGCAGAATGCAGCAAAAATAGAGCGTGCTCCAGTACACATGGTACAAACGCGAAGTTCTACAGTTTGGTTAGCTACGTCAGCTGCACTTAATTAAACATTGCATCACAGTTTTTACTTTCTTTGTTTCTCTTGCCTGTGAGACAGCTATTAGGCACTTTGAGCATTTAGACAACTTTGAGGTTACAATTTTGCGTTCTGCTTGTACATACTTGGGCTCCAGAATATTGGGAGCCAAGCTAACCGTTTACGGGCCAAGTTGGACTTTGAGGGGGCCCGTTGGCCCACCCAAAAGCATGCAAATAAATACTCGTGTTTCCAGATATAACGGTCTTCAGTTGGCTCTCAATCAGTGCTGTACAAGGTGCGATGACGGAACCAAACGATGACATTGAGGAGCATATCAGCTAAGTGTTTTTTTCCGTCTAGAGCAGTCTTTTCCAATTAAAGTATACCAGTAATTTCAAGAAAGCTCTTTTCATCATGTCTGATGCTTGCCTCGATGTCTCCAAATGTGGAGCATTGCCTTTTTATCCCAAATACGCTTCTCACATGCTGCCCCGGGCACCGGTCGGGGCGCGCCTCACGGCCGGCGGGTGCCTGACGCCGCCCGCTGTTGGGCGGTGCCTGACATCTCCCGCTGTCGGGCGGTGCCTGACACCTCCCACTGTCGGGCGGTGCCTGACACTCACGCCGTCGGGCGGTGCCTGACGCCTCCCGCTGTCGGGCGGTGCCTGACATCTCCCACCGTCGGGCGGTGCCTGACATCTCCCACTGTCGGGCGGTGCCTGACGCTGCCCGCTGTTGGGCGGTGCCTGACGCCGCCCGCCGCCTCGCCGACAGATGCGCCGTGTGGTGGGCAGGGCGTACGGCCGGGGCGAGCAGCACGCCGGCCCCAACATCGAGCACTTGCGTCGGGACGCTCTGGACGCCGCCGGCAACAAGGTGGAGCGCGTCGACAAGGTGCTGCACCTGCACAGGGTCGACAAGTGAGTGGCGCCCGACGGGCTGGGCTTGGTGAAGTTGACACTGGTCCGCACTAGGATGATACGCCGTGTGAGTTGTAGCTCCTTGACAACAACATTCAGGCACTTGGAGAACAAGCTGTTCTGTACTATAACTTTTGTGTCAAGGATTTCCGTATCGCTTCTAGGGTGTCACAGTCAGTTCGGCGTGTTAACAGCGTGGATGTAAACGAGGACAAAAGCTTCTTACGGTGGCAGGCCGACACGCCATAGCGTAATATAGGTCACAGCAGGATGGCGCCCGCAGTGTACGACGGATGACACCTTCCCTCAGGGTCGGCGAGGAGGAGGGCGACGACGACCCGAGCGGGGCGCGCCGGCCGCCGCGCGACCCGGAGCGCGACGACCTGGAGCCGGTCGAGGTCAAGCCCGAGGCGCTGGTGCCGGGGCCCGCCGAGCGCGCCGCCCTTCGCTTCCCAGGTGCGCCCGCTCGAGGCGGCGACAGCGTGCGGCACGCGCTCCGGGTCTGTTTAGAGTGGTAACGGACGGGCCGCTGGCGCGGTCGGCTGGAGGAGCCGCGCGGCGGCTGATCTCGAGCGAAGGTGTGGCGCCGCGCGCGTCGAGAGGGTGCGTTCAGGCGGTGTTTACCGCGCTGATCGTGACGGCGGCGGTGCCCGTGATGCTCGTGCGTGCCATGGCCCGTGCGGCTGCGCCTGGCTGCGCCCTCTGCCGCCGGCCGGGGGAGGGCCGCCGCTGGCCGGAGTCCGGTGACGGCGACCAGGATGAGACCGAGCGGCGGCCGTGGTGGCCCGCCAGGGGACCGGCGGCACCAGCTGGTCACGTGCAGACGGTGGTCTGTAACGGGACTTTCCGCTGGGTGATGGGGCACAGAGCGTGGCCTCGGGAAAGTGGGTGTTTGACGTGCAGTCGTATTAATGCAAGCCCAGTTACGTAACTTTGCGCCATGAAACGTTCGTAATAGTACAAATGAGGAAGTGCTCTCCACGTTTTTGGGCAGGTCCCAGCAACGAGCGACAGGAGGCGGTGGTGAAGGCGTTCCAGCACGCATGGCAGGCCTATAGCAGATACGCGTGGGGCCATGACCACCTGAAGCCAATCTCGCAGCAGCCGCACGACTGGTTCGGCCTGGGTCTGACGCTCATCGACAGCCTGGACACCATGTACATCATGAACCTGATGGACGGTGAGGGGTCCGGCGCTGGCGCTGTATCTGCTGCCAGGCGCACGCCGAGAGATATCTGAAAGCCCGTGCGTTCCATTTTGACTGACGGCTGGCGTTTGCAGTTGGTGACGCCTGAACTGGCGCTGCTGTGGTCGGCAGACGACTGTGGCTGATGTCGCAGTCTTGTTACGTGCTGGGCGATCGCTTCCAAGCGGAAAACAGCTTGTAGTTGCCAGGTCACGTGAGCTGCGGAGTCTTGTGCCTCAGTTTTGCGTAAGAAGCAACAATACGGAAAACACCAATAACTTAGATTCTCAGGATCGATGCACATGCCCGTTTGGCTGTAACCCCCCTCCCCCTCTTCCCTGCCGCATCTCCGTGGCTGAGTTGATATGACGACCCGCCGTGCTCCGCGTGTGTTCGTCAGAGTTCCACGAGGCGCGCGACTGGGTGGCCCACCACATGAACCTTGACGTTTCCGACTACGTCAACCTGTTCGAGACGACCATCCGCGTGCTGGGGGGCCTGCTCAGCGCCCACCACCTGTCGCAGGACGACGTCTTCCTCAAGAAAGCGGTGAGTGGCGCGGCGCCGGCTGTCACGTGACGACGACGGCCATCGCTGTGTGGCCATCGTGTGGTTGCCGACTGGGAGGGAGGGGGGGGGGGGGGGCACCTATGTGTGTTGCCCCTCATGTGGCGCCTGGATCCGCCTGCGTGGGACGCAGACAAGGATAGTGTTCGCCCCCCGTTGTTGGTGAGTGGTGAGGCTGGCCGACGTAAGAGCCGTGCTCAGGGCTGGGCTGCGGACGGTGCAGCGTGTTTACCGGGCTGCGGCTGGGGTGGCCGGCTGTAACCGCTCTCGCTCGGGGCCAGATCGACCTGGGCGACCGGCTGCTGCCGGCGTTCGAGACGCCGTCGGGCATCCCGTTCTCGGACGTGAACCTGATGACGCGGCGGGCGCGCGGCCCCGCCTGGAACCCGGACAGCTCGACGGCCGAGGTGGCCACGCTTCAGCTCGAGTTCAACCAGCTGAGCCACATCTCCGGCGACAGCAAGTACTCGGTGAGAGCCGGCGGCGGCCAGGGGCGTGTGGCGGGCGGCGTGCTGCCAGCTCCGGGCTCAGGGCTGCGGGCTGGAGGCTGGAGGGTGTGAGCCTTTCGGAGAGCTGTGTCATGTCACGTGCCGCAGTCAGCACCGCCAACCGATCCATTCTCGGCTCAAGATTTGCGACTCACGAGCGAGAAGTTTGGAACAAAGTCACAGCAACATGACTGCGTTTTTTAACGTTGTGTGTTTTTGGCATTGCTGTATTTGGCCGGTGTGCGGTCTCCGTGTTTTGTATTGGTCACATCGTGATGCGCTTCTGTGCCGCGACTTGGCACTGATGTGGAATCGCCTCACCTGGCTCGTGATGAGTTCATGTGTGGTATCTATATCTCGTATTTACCACAGCCAGATGCCCCATCTGACCGCAACGACACGATATTACACCGTTACGTGCTTCTTCCATCTTCACCCAAGTCAGCCAGCTGCCTTCTGTACCTTCTCATTGCAGAGAATGCAAGAATAGCCGTCGATGTCGTTGAACGAAATTACGTGTAACCCGAGGTGCCATCCGAGCCGCCTCCCGATCCTCCGGCTACCATGGCTGGATGTCGCGTGTCCACCACGCTGCTGCGTGCGGGTGCGCCGCGGACGTGCCGCACACTGGCCTGAACCTCCCGTGTGTGGCCCGACAGGACAAGGCGACGGCCGTGTCCCGCCACATCAGCGGCCTCGCCAAGAAGGAGGGCCTCGTGCCCATCTACATCAGCACCAAGGACGGCCAGTTCCGCCAGTACTCGGTCGTCACCATGGGCGCGCGAGGCGACAGCTACTACGAGTACCTGCTGAAGCAGTACGCCCAGCTGGGGCAGCCGCTCGCGCAGTACGTGTCCCACGGCTCAGATGGCGCCGCTCAGGGTGTGGAGTGGCTCACTGATGGCCCTCTCAGGGAATCCCTTCCCCTCAGCTGCGCAGGGATCTGGGTATCCAGACTGGGCGCCGTGCAGTGTATATGGTGTATCGTGAAAAATGTGCGGTCGGTTTGCATTGTGAAGTTGCATCAGTTGAAGATTTGCCTGAAAAAATCGTTGACTTTGTTTGGCGTGCCTTTTACAGCTTACGAGATGACTTTAATGCTTCAGTCCAAGGTATTCAACACCTTCTAGTCAAGAAGAGCAAACCGAACGAGCTCACGTTCCTTGCCGAGCTTATGAGCGGTGGAAAGAATATCAAACCAAAAATGGTGAGTATCTCAGTTTCTCTTTCTTGCCTCTTTTCTTATACACTGGGAAATCACGTGTGTTTCCATGTCTGATCATGGCAGCTCAGACAGGAGAGTTTTTGGATTCCAACTGGGAGCTCTGGACTCGGTTTGTGGCTGAATTTGTCGCCGCATTATCTGGTGTTCCATCAAATACCCACGCGAAAATGTTGGCCTCGTAACCTTTAACAAAATGTGCATATGTGCTGCTTACAGAACTTTAAGCTTCACTGCCAAGATGCTTAATTATCCCCGGTCTGGTAATACAGACCAGCAGATTTATTATTGCCATCCTGTGTGCTTCTGTGTCAAGCTGATGCTGATGCTGATCTTGTCCCAAACTACGCTTGCACACCTAGTCACGAAGCGCTCTCGCATTGACGAAGCATGTTCAAGGTTCACAATAGTACGTTGTTCTCCACCTAGCTCAAACCCTCCAGCCAACCTATTTCTGGTACTCATATTGCTTGTCCTGCATCCTTGAGCAACAACAAGCAAGCACGCGAGCATGGCAATTATACCACTGACCCGCCGTTGTCGCGATTAGTGCATTTCTGGCCTATTTCTTTTACGTTTTTTTTTCATTCCCATTACAGATAACTCACCACGTAATTTGTGAGTGTCCTGTCACATTTACCGACACTGTAAACGTGGCCGCAACAGGTCCACTTGACTTACCGACAGCCGCTGTAACTAATCCCCACGCGAACTTCGTGTGTCACGCTCGTTCCTTTGGACCGCCTGGTCCGCTGACCCCGTCTCGCGGCCGGACCGTCACCTCGTGAGGTCAGCGTGTCATGCTCGTCGCTTTGGACCGCCCGGTCCGCTGACCCTGTCTCGCGGCGGGGCGTCACTCCGTAAGGTCAGCGTGCCTCGCCGCCGCGCCGTCACCTCGTAAGGTCAGCGTCGCTCGCCGCCGCGTCTTCACCCGTGAGGTCGCGTGTCTCGCCGCCGCGCCGTCACCCCGTGAGGTCAGCGTCCCTCGCCGCCGCGTCTTCACCCGTGAGGTCGCGTGTCTCGCCGCCGCGCCGTCACCCCGTGAGGTCAGCGTGTCTCGCCGCCGCGCCGTCACCCCATGACGTCACCGTGTCTCGCCGCCCTGCCGCAGGACCACCTGGCCTGCTTCCTGCCGGGCACGCTGGCTCTGGGCGTGCGTCTCGGCCTGCCCACCTCCTACATGAAGCTGGCCGAGGAGCTGGCGCACACCTGCTACCTCACCTACAGCCGGCAGCCGACCGGCCTGGCGCCCGAGATCACCTACTTCAACATGAACGTCAGTTGGGCGCCGCGGGCCGCCTCGGTGGGCGGCGGGCGGCGGGCAACGGCGGCGTCGCAAGGCTAACACTGCTGGTCCCGGTGCCTCCCGCCGAGGACGCTCTGTGCCGGGCTTGGGGGGGGGGGGGGGGGGGGGGGGGGGTTGGGGGGTTGGACGCTTAATCACGACTCAATTGGCTTTATGTTTTGTTGGGATGTTTTTTGTGTCGTTTATCAGTGGTGTGCTTTTCGGTAACTATTAGGTATTGCTAATGTTGACGTGGTGTGGGAACAATATTGGTGTTAAACTGCTCTAAGCAAGCCATCTATGTACTTATTGCACGAAATCGACACTCGACCACATTGCTGTATGTATAAGTATTCATCCATAGAAAGCTATTTCCACATTTACCGTCAATATGCGCCGAAAAATTGCATGATCTTCTTTGTTGGTAATAGCTGGCACTGCCATTGCGTCGGTTAAGTAAGATGCACGGTACCAGGGATGTAGTTTCTGACACAGGACGTGAGTCTTCGATGCTTTCTTGAAAGGTGCATATGGCATGCAGTGCAATGCGTATCATCGGGATATTTGCACCGTACAACTTGCACGATCGATGCCTGAAGGTTCGCTGGTCACGGGTCGCTGAAAACGTTTGGTGGCAACGCCCGAAAACGTGCTGTGTGCAGAGTATGCTGTGGATGGTTGGTCCTGCGTTTTGCCACATGTCTGCGGTACACAACGTTTCCCCTGAACGCTTCAGGCTCGCGCGTTTTGACAGCTTTGTGCAGTAAACATATATTGCTGCAATCACCGTTGCCTCGTTCGTGAGTCATTTGTAATGTCTTGTCTCAGATATGATCGTGGGTTTTTTTCGTCCGAGGATAATTCGGGTAACGGCGTTTTTCATTTTCTGCGGCCGTTCCAAGGCACTTTCATTATAACCGAATACCTGATCACATCATCGCAGATGGGACAGCACCACTGCATCACTGCTATAGATAGCGCATGAGAGGGAAACATTTGCTTGGCATGCATAGGGCCCGAAAGCGTTTGGTCACAAAATGTATGTGTGACTAAGAACTGTCTGGAACGGACAGACAATTAGCGGCACGTATTTATCGGACGTATCGAGTTGATAAAGTTTGTACGCAGTCCGCCATTATTGAAGCATGTTATTGATATTGGATCTCGCGAGTTTGCCGTGCTCTCTGAAGCATTCAACTGACGTTCGTACAGAGCGGTGTTGTACTTGCCTCCTGATGCTGCGGTGCCGGCGTACCCAGGTGACGCCGTCACGTGACGCGTGTCGCCGTCCACAGTCAGACGCTACGGAGGACTTCTACGTGAAGCCGCTGGACGCGCACAACCTGCTTCGGCCGGAGACGGTCGAGTCGCTCTGGTACCTGTACCACCTGACTGGCAACAAGACGTACCAGGACTGGGGCTGGAACATCTTCCAGGTGCGCCGCCGGCTCAGCCGAACGAGCCGGCTGCTTCCCAGTCGCTTGTGGTTCTATGGTGTAAAATTGCGGCGACCATTTGTATGTGGTATGTTTGGTGGTGAGTAGGAAGAGTGGTTGAGACGTAGGAGTTAACTGCGTGTGTCTCCGGTAAGTCTAGATCAAGGGAGACGAAGTGATGTTCCGTTTTCTGAGTCGGGCCTCTGGCGGTAGATGCTTGCTCGCGCTCGATGGCGGGAAAGCTCGGCTAAGTCTAGCCGGAATATGCCTCAGCACGCGCCCGCACCTGTCACCGAACGGATGGTGTGCTAAGGAGAGGGTGTGCTGGGGTGGTTAGCCGGCTGGGTGTACTGCGCCATCGGCTGCGCGCTCTGACGGCTACGTCCCGCCGCTGCAGGCTTTTGAGAAGTATACCAAGGTGCCAACCGGGGGCTACACCAGCATCGGCAATGTGCTCGACCCGGACAACCTGAGCCCGCGCGACTCGATGGAGTCGTTCTTCCTGGGTGAGACGCTCAAGTACCTATATCTCCTCTTCTCCGACGACCAGCGCACGCTCAACCTCAACGACTTCGTCTTCAACACGGAGGCGCACCCGCTGCCGGTGCTGCGCCGGCCGCCAGCGCCGGCGCGGGCGCCGGTGCCGCGGCCGGTCGTGCGGCCCGGACACGACTACATCTGAGGCCACGCCACGGTTCTGAGGCCGCGCGACCCGGCCTGTCTGCCTCAGGTCGGCCGCCCCGCCGGCGGGCAGCCTCGTGCCCGCTCGGCAGGCGGCCCATTCGCACTGTGATATGAAATGAAGCACCGGCTCCTCTCGCGACGCGCGGCGCGTGCGCGCGCGGTGCCGCCCTCCTGGGCGGGCGTGAGGCTCGGCGTGCGCCGCGTCCACGACGCTGCCGTTGCTGAGTGTCGTGCACGTAAATTATGCGCGGCGCAGGTGCCGCGCCGCGTGTCGATAATGAAAGCGTGGCGTGTATGGACGCGTTCGGACCCGCCCACGACGCGTTCGCGCTTTATATTGTTGCGATCGCTCGTGCCGGGGGGCTGGTGTGGGAATTCCGCGTGCGCGTGCGTTTGCTTGCACCGGCCGGGCGCCCAAAGCGCCGCCTTAGATCTGCTCACCGTCGGCTCCCAGTCACTGCCGGGGCGTCGCACGCCGCCGCCCGGCGCGGTCGCGCGCCCAACCGGTCGGATCTGTCGCCTCATCGGGGTTGTTCTGTGGATTTGAACACGTGACATACAGATATTGTGCGGGGCAATGTGTCTCTGCGGCGGCGCCAGGCGGCGATGGCCAGCGGAAGACGTCTCTGCACAGAACGCGACCCGTCCTAGCGATCGAGCCGGCTGTTTTTGAGGCGGCTCTCGGTCGTGCTCGCTCTGCGGTCGGTCGGCGGTCGAAGTGTTCAGCAGGACAGATGCCTGTCGGGTGTTGGGCGTGCTCGTTAGCGGCGCTCGACTTCGTGACACTAGGGCTGAACCGGAACGCCGGTGCGTCCGCCGCCGTGCGCACGTGCAGGTCGATATCAAGCTCGATTCTGCTGCTGGGGCAGCTGAGCTCGCTCGTGCTCTGTCGGCCAGTACACATGGCCCTCTAATTCCGGAACAGGCTGGCGCTCGTTATCACCCACCCGCCCAGCCGCCAGGCCTGCGCTGTACAGCTGGCTAGTCTGCGCCGCGGATCCGCCGCGGCTGCAGCGGATCAGGCGCGGCGCGCGCATCCCCTGGTGTCCGAGATGGCCGCGGCGACGCAGCACGTCTGGACAGAGACTCTTGGAGACGGCTCGCCTCGGTCCTGGCGTGGCCGGGTCTGCCGACTGTCCCGCTTGTGGTGCCACGCGGGCGTGCTCTGATGGAGCGGGCCGCTGTGCGCCGGCGCCGGGCGGCCCCCGTCGTCAGCACGGACCGTGAGGTGGGGGTGGGGGGGGGGAGGGGCGGACCGGGAGTCTCGTGCGGTCCGCGGGCCATCCTGCCTTACCCCGCCCTGCCTTCGCCGGGCAGCAGTCAGAGCTGGACGGCAGGGCTGAGGACTGATATGACACCGGCCCGCATGGCTCAGGAACGCTCCGGCTGGCTCAGTGAGGCCGCTGGGCTTCTCGGGCAGCTGTAGTTGCAATTGGACGCGGCTGCCGTTCGCCGCGGTCGGACCCGTGTAGATCCGGCAGGCGTCTCATGGTTACACGTATTAAAACACCCGCCTCGAAGACCCGGCTGCCAGCGGCACTTCCCAGCTGATATTCGACTCGAGTGTTCGACGAGTGGGGCACGGTTTGCGCGATCGTTCCAATGCGCTGGCAGATTCGGAATTGAAATCCCTGAGTGGCGAGCAGTCAGTAAGAGGGCATTTATTAATGGCGAATGAGGGTCCTCTTGCTCGACCCGAACGAAAAGCAGCTTTGAGAGGCCGAGGAGGTTACTAACATACATATTTTGATGTAAAATAAAGTGCTGGGCAAATTGCTTTGAACACATATTTTGGCATGCAAACTCCAATTTCTGTCATGCACCAGCGCTCCATTTTTGAAATACATCCTCAAACGTGCGAAATCACTTAAGCTTCCCGTACGTTTTATAGAGGCGTTGCCATCCAAGCCAATTAGCTCCGGTCCACCCGCAGGCGCACAATGGACATCCGGACACACCAATACTCTGAGCGTCGCGCTGCTGCCGGCGAAGGCCGCACCGCCATTCTGAGGTCCACCGCCCACGGCTGTCCCGCGTCAGGTGCATTTCGCCTGAAAACAAACACTCTCATTTGGCACGCGACATCGGCCTCGGCAGCGGCAGGACTCGTCTCGCGTCACGTAACAACGTCGCCACTTTCGAACGGAACATCAGCGCTCGGTCCTCCGACTTCCACTCGGGCACGCGCCACCGCGCGGGTTAACGCCGGATGCAGACTAGCTGGAGCTCAAGCTCCCCCGCACACCGGGCACAGATCGGTAGCTGATGGCGCGGCGCGGCGCCACGCACCGCTCCGCTCCCTGGAGAAGTCATAACCGGACAGCCTCAGCTTGACAGGGATCCCCGCGAATCCAGCGCCCGCCAGTCACAACAGCGCAATGGCACTGGACGTCTAACACGATGATAAGCGTATCGTTGAACAAGACGACTACCGCGGGCATGCTCTCACTGGACACTTTCGTGGAAACTCGGCAAGATAATACCCTAACTCTGTGTATGAAAACAGCACAAGTCAGACTGGGCAGTGAGGCGTTGCGTTCCCAACGCCGATGGACTGAACACAAATGACGCGAGCATTGATTCTGCCGCGGAACTTCGTAGTTTCTGCGCTGTACAGAGATCAGATTCGCAGCAGAACGTTGTGCTGCTACTACCAGGAGACCACGGTTCTAATCTATCCCACGGGTCACAGGCTGTGTTGGCTATAAATATTGAGCTTCGTATCATATGATTATCGAGTACTGTGTCATCGCTATCAGGCTGCCGTCTGTTTCCTCCGCGTAACCGTCCGTTTGCCGTCGTTTTTGTCCGGCTCCGCAGTATCAGCCACGACAGCTAGACTGCCGGGACCGCGCAGTCCTTGGACACGGTGTCACTTGCCGGGACCCAAGCGATACATAGTCTTAGCTACCCGAGCCACAGAAGTAGCTATCCTGTGCCTTCTGACCCAACAGTCCACGGCTTTGAGCCTTCCGGCGCACGACAGCCCGCAGCTCCACGCTGCGGTCACCGCCTTCTCTGAACGACGACGCCGCATCCGCTCGCTCCACGGGAGCACGCGGCGTAGCTTTTCGTTTTTCGGAGGCGGCGTTGCTCTGATGCCTCTAGAAGTCTGCGCCAGCACAATCATCACGCGGGAATGTCAGCATGACCACTTCTTCTCGAGCGTGGAACAGGCGATGCTTTCGTCAAGGAGTTTGATCACAAACTCGCTGGCTTCCCAGGAGCCTGGGCGGAGGATAACCGGCCTCCTCAGGGCACGGAGCAGAGGCAGACGCCACCTTTGGAGTCCAGGCAGGTTACGGGGTCTCCCCGGGAGCCGCTGTCCACTCTAGACGTTCTCGGGAGCCGGAACCGGAACCGGGATTGAAGCCTTCCCAGAAGCCGTTGTCCGGTCTGGAAGCCCCCTTGGGAGCCATGGCCGAGCCCGTTCCTCTTCAGGAGCCGGTCCCAGAAGTCTACAGTCTCCTCAGGAGCCGCGGCCGAGTCTGTCCCCCCTCAGGAGCCCTGGCTGAGGCCGGCGTGGCCGTGGAGGCTGGACTGGCCGGGCGACTGGCAGTGCCACCAGAGCCGCTCGCGCCCACTGCCGCCCTGCACCGCGCCGCCGCCTGGCGCGGCCGGGCCGAGCGGCGGCCGTCATGCCGGCCCGGCCGACTCCAGCCGCTCCAGCTGCTCCAGCCGCTCCAGGCTGCGCCGGTCCACCAGCCGTGGACCGAGCCTCCCGGCAGGCCCGCCACGGAGCCGCTCCAGCGACGGATGCAGGCTGGCCATCTCAGGGGCCTCCTCGGCCGCTGCGGGCACACGGGCGCGTGTCAGGGTCGGACAACTGACGCCGACATGCAGCGCTGAAGGTGGGAGTGAGCCGCTGCAGCGCGGCGAGTGCGACCGAGAGTACGCATGGGTAGCGACAGCCAAATCGATTATCCGCCATCGTGAACGGCCGAAATGAGTAAGCGTTCCGTCCCACCTCGCCGCGGCACGACGTTGCTCTAGACGCTCGCGCGCGGTGTGCGTCGCCAGCGGCGGCGTGGCCGGTGGGTTCGGTGGCGTGAGGCGGACAGTTATCGGTCCCGGATAGCCTTTGCCGTATGTCAGAGCAGCCGTGGGATGGTGGCATGAACAACTGGCGCCACAGGGCTAGTCGCCCCAAATGCATGGAGCCATGTCAAACCAATAATTCAATACTTGAAATATAGTCAGAAAAATAAAACCCAAGAAATGCAACATAGTAGCTGAAGAATTAAGCCTAGTACAAAGGTTTATTTGATCAAATCTAATTAATTCAATTTCTAGGTTAATCTGAGTAAAAGATTTACTTGACAGTAGAGAGCGTTGCTCGCGTAATCATTGAAAGGGTATGAGAGTTGAACATGCAAATTTGGAGGCACCCTTGATGGAGGTTGATGTGCGTGGCTGCGTAGCTGCACCATACTGCCCCTGCCGGTCCGGAATACCGAGTTTTCATTTGCCCTTTTACCCTTTTTTGTTTCATCTTGTATCCTCACGGCAGCCCGCTTGTCCCGGGGAGGAAGCGTGCACCAGCCGTGAGTGGACCGGGGGGTACCCTGGTGGGGGTCTCCGTCCGAGTGCCAGGCACACATCCCGCAGTGGGGTCCCTGTGCGGGCGACATTTCGGCAGCTGGGTCCCCGAGCGCATGTATTCTGCCCTACCGTTATCCATTGCCCTTCATCCCAGAGCTCTGAAATGGTTATTACTGGCCGAATGGGCCTTGATCAAAAAGGCAAATAATCAGACCGAGGTTTAGCTGCAGCTTAGGTTTAACGCCTGCTTTTGGAGGAGAAATCTGGCCAACCAGCACCGGGCCTGGTGAAGTGGCGGCATTTTCAGTCAGCCACATCCAATGCTTCAATCGCTGACATGACAATCATCAGTGATCACCGAGCTTCAAACCCGACGAACGAGCCATGCCGCTTATCGGCAAACCATACGCCAGTGCAATCATCCCCTGAGTACAGTTGTCTGTACAGAATTGTTTGAACTCGACTCCAACTAGTGTGTCAGTTGCTTTGCGGTCGTCAGTTTCGGACTCGATCACCGGAGGTTGCGGTTTTTTTTTTGGGGGGGGGGGGGGGGGCTCCAATCCGACCAGCAGCCTTGGGAGTCAGGAGAGCGTGCACATTTGACCCGCGGTGCCGCTATCTGCCCGCAGGGCGCCTGGGACGGCGCCAATCGCCAACCTGACCGCAGCCTGCACGCGTCGGCACGACACCTTCGCGCAGAACACCCTCTTCCGCGGCTGGTGCGCCATTACGAACAGTAATCCTAGGAGCTATCCGATTAGCGGTCTGACGAGTCCTGGCCGCTGTAGCCAGATCTCAACGCTCTGACTGCCCAGCGCTCGCGAGTAAAACGCACCGTTTAGAATACTGCGCGCAGGTTGGGAAACGGAACGGGACGGAATGAGAAAATCGACTATAGGGGAGCCCAGAGGGCTGGGACACTCGAATATTCACGAAAATCCAGCACTCGGCGTGCGGCGGTGCGTAGAAATCGCGGATCAAATGTCACAACGCTCTCCCCGAATCCTGTGCAAGCCCCGCATCCGTGACTGCGAGTCTAGGGCGGTTTATACATCCTGTCGACGCTGCTCCTGTTTAACCATTCCAAAACACGACATTTCAGCAGGGATTAACGTCTTTCACAACGTCCCGTGAAAAGGAGCCCAAGGGACACCATCGCCACTTCGACGGGTGCGGCGCCAAACTTCGGAAGAGATGAAGACATGAGCAAAGAGAGAGGCGAAGGGGGCATCGCCCTCTCCCGGCTCGACGAATAAGCCCCCGTTCCCTGGGCGGCCCAAGGCTCTCACCCAGTTCCGCGAAGGTATGAGTGGCTTTCGAAAAGTTGATGCAACAAAAAGGAACACGCTGTTAACAGAGGTTTTAAAAACAACGGCCATAGATCGGTCAGCAGGCGATTTAAAATGAACCCCGTGGGTAAAACGGGTTATATCCTTAACACGCGCTCGGATGGCCGGTTGGATACCCTTCGCTCGGGTGGGAGGTCGGTTGCCCCCCCCCCCCCTAAGATCTTAGGAACTAAGAGGGCTTCAATCTTCAGGTTTGTCTCCAAAGTTAATGTCAGTGATCTTGTTTGATCTCTTGCAGGTCATGGTGATCAAAATCATAGAAGACTTCTCTGAGTTCGTTATTTGAATAAGCGACAAAGACTACGTCAGGCAGTATGTTTCTAAAAACGAAGGTTAACTTGGGTTATTTTAGGTCGGTACCTATTCTGACCTTTAAGAAGTTAGTGAAAACTGTATAATGCGGTTCTTGTCACCAATAAATTTGAAATGAGCACCAGAAACTACCCAATATAGCAATCCCTAGAGTACTTAAACAGGTTGGTTTGAGCCTTGATCTGATCTTCATACCTGGCCCTAGGTCAGTGGAATTCCGTCATTAAATTGTTGCGTTGCCTAAGAAGTATCTCCGAGGTGTACAGCTTCGTCTAACACGTCGTTGCTGCATAAGGTCGAACGATTCTCTCTAAATTGACTTCACTGAACCCATGGCCTGACTTTCACCTGCCGTAGGTCAGCGGCCTTACAAGGTACAACCAGTGTTTCATACCAAACGATCCGCTATTCAATTGTCTATAGCTATGCAAAATTTGGCGTGGCTATGCCGCGCCGTTCGGTAACCATTCCGGAAAAACCTCTGGGGGGGGGGGGGGTCAACTTGATCCGCACCCGAGTGCGTGTTAAGAAAGCCAAGTTGAGAGCCTTGAGCGGAACCGTGGGCCCCCGGTTGCGGGGCCCCTGACACATTTTGCCCCCCCCCCCCCCTCTCCCTCCCCTCTCTGGCGAAACCCTGGCTGAGCGCCGGGAAGAGAGTTGGAACACCGCGACTCGTATGCAGCACATAGGAAGTACGGCCATACCAAAAACAACACGAAACAAACGAAACAATGAAAAGAAGTGAAGTGGGTAAAACAAAATAGCACCGGCCGCCGTATATTCACCACTTTATTAAAACGAAGATCAATCAAGTACCCGCGCACGTCAAGCGACAACAACACTATTATAAATGAATGAAATCTACACATAATACACATCAGTGCACAGATCTCGTTGATAGCGCACATCCAGGCGACTCCGCATCATGCATTACAACACGTATGAAAATAAATCATCGAAGAATTACGTACCGGCCCTGACAGCGGCACCACACCAAAGAATGCGGTACCACCATGTCAGCGACAAATGTGAGTCATTCCCTTCATGTTGGCATTTGTTTACAAACGATCAAGGTACTTCGTGACAATACAACGCACATAATTGTAGGCATCTCCATGTAGTCTCTCCACACTCGCCAGGCCTTATCGCGTCATCCTTCGTCACCGCCACTCACGTGTGTCACCAAACGGTCGGTCCAACAGCATGTTGAAAGCATCCCACGGATTCACCACCGGACTGTTCTACGTGGTTCTCGTAAAACGCATGGACTGCGGCAGATTATAACCGGTTGGACATTTGGAAACAGCTACAGCTTAGGACTGCTTTTTCAATGGAAGCAAGTTTGTTCTCCAAAACGGGCTAAAAAAGGAACTCCGGGGAGCACTTGTGGACTGTCCACTCCAGCAAATGCGTCGAGCAGAGGCAAGATCGCCTTAGCACTTTTTGCTTCAGCCAGCGGCAACGGCTTAAGACTACGGCCTGACGTACTGCGGAAATGCTGATACCGCCACAGCGTACTGGGCTGCTATATGGCTCATGTTGAATCTCTGCATATACATTGCTGGCGGGAAGAAACAGCGCTCAAAAATGCTGTCCTGGATCAAGAGGAAGTGCCGCAGCTCTCCACGTGCCTAACAAGAACGGAACTGATGGGCCCAGTCTCTCCACATCATTCCCGGATCGTCTCTTCCCACATTGAGAACCACCCAGATTTTGGACGGCTGGGTTTCCGTGGCAAGTGCCAGGCAGGCAACCATGTCGGCGGCTGTCCACAAACCAACCACGGCAATGTACCGAAAATATGCCGATAGGCGTCCAGCTTCGCATGCGCCGGCACGGACAGAGCAGTGCGACGGTCCGGCTCCGCGCCCCGGTCCGACCGCACGGGGCGACACATCAGGGGCGTCGCCGCCAACGGGTCCGCGTCGCCGCGCGGTGCCGGCTACCGGGCCGACTGTCGTTTGCGGCGGGGTGCAGGACGGGAGCGAAACAGGTGTGAATCCTGTCACGAGACATCGCGGGTTCCTTTGCTCGCATCCCTTGTCACGACTTCGTATCTCCTGACACGGCATCGTATCTAACGTTTAGTCTAATGCTAACGTCTATGTAGTCCAGTCTGGTCCGCTGCCGTCCGCCACTCCACAACATTGCTTCCGAGTGCCGGCGGGAAGTCCAGGACGCTACCGATCCTACGCACACAAACTCAGAATGTACTGTGCTATCGGAGACAATCCACGGAGACAGACCAGACCGAGATCTTATCGCTACACCGTTCCCCACAAAACCACTCGAAAGACGGTGGAATGGATGATGTTAATTCAATGATATTGCGAAGGAATGCTAACTTCCATGCGTTGCTCAAGCTAGGATGGGTAGATTGTACTTATCACCAATGACGTGGAGGCCTAACTTACAAAGGGGTCTAAAATTTTATATATGCAGACCCTTAGGTCAATTTTTCCAATTTTTTCAATTTTTTGTTGTTGATTTTTTTTTCCCCAAAAAATTCCAATTTTTTCCATTCAATCAATAAGGCCAACAAAAAAAGGCTCAACTTACACCTCTATGGTCTGAAAAAAATGGGAAGAAATGCAGCCTGGGAAAAAATTGTTGCAAACCCATAAAATGATTCTTAGACCATGACATTTTCCTCTAAATACGTGCTTATCTCATGCATCACAAAACCTTTGGGGAAGCTCCGCCACCATATGCCTAGAAGTAGTGACGCGGCGGCGGATACGCGCGAACAAGTGTGACATTCGATTGAACAGCATACCTGAGCGCACTCCCCGCCGCAGGCGATCTCATTGATCAGATCGTGTCGTGTTACGACGAGAAACTGTTGCAGTGGTGTAATGACGTTATGCTCATCCCTAAACAGATATCAAATAGAAAAAACCTGTCGAGCTACGTCATCGCACCGCGGCCATGTATGTCCATACATCCTGCACCCGAGAGCCCAAGATGTGGCTTATGTGACCACGTGAGATGAACGCGATTTTTCCTCAGATGTCTGTCTGACGTTCTGGGCGTTACAGTATTCAATTTTTCAACGGAAAAAAGTCGGTGATCGACATAGAGGCTGATAATATTTTGATATATATTCAGAACTGAACATACAGCTACCCACGAGTTACTGGTACTCGGGTTCAGACACTGGCCAGGTTTAGACTGACGCACAAAATGTGATAAGCAGAGCCCAGACGATTCCAGCCATGACACGCGAACTGACTTTAGAAATTATCAGATGGTAAACCGTTAAGCCGTGTAACCCGTGTCATCTGCGCTCTCGGACAAAAATATGCACGAACTACGGGAACGTTTTGACTCAAATCTACATATTGCAAAAGTCCACCTGAGGGCACGCAGTCGTCCATGTAGCAAATGAGTCTTCTGTGTCTGCGCGCTACAAAAACATGTTCAGCGTATGTGCAATTTCAACGTAATCGCCCCGTCCCCCCAGTCCGTGTCCAGTCGTCCAGTTCAGTTCAGTCGTCCAGTACCGCCAGGACTGACTGCGCTGCATCCGACCGGAAGCCCAGCACTTCCTGATGTCCGACGTCTTCGACGCCGACCCCCGACCAACAGAGCCGCCGTTCCGTTGGTAGCAAAGACGGCCACACGGGCCAGCCACAACGCTTTCAGACGGGCAGCCGGGCACCGCAGGCGCGCAGCACGCATGAGGCGGCACACTCAGGCCATGATTGGCAGGGAGACAGAGCGGAATGGCATGCAACCAGACGTTCGTGTGTGGAAGCTACCTTGACACGGCCAGGAAGGTAGTTTTCAGGCAGCGTCAACCACCCCGAGCAGCCACGTTTCTGGGCTGGCGCATTCGGACTACTTGGCTGGAGACTCGGACGGGGAAGGCATGCAGACGGGAGTAAACTGCAGACTTGGGCTTCGGCGGCCAGCGTTGGACCAACAGCCGCATCGGAGTGAGATGCGGGAGACCTCCCAGGCACACTGGCGGGCTGCGACTGCATGCGACACCGACACCTCGAGGACACCGGCCGGGCGGACAGAGCCGCGATCCGGCGAGTCTAGTAACAACAGCCAGGCGGCAGCCGGTCAGGAGGACACAGCCGGCTTACATGGTGCGATGTACCGAGCTCCGATCATGGGCAGCTCGTCATAGACCACAGCGTGCGAGCCATTGCCGACACTCCTGCAATACGGGGAGGCCGTCAGGCGCGCGGTGACGTCACGGCGCACGGTGACGTCACAGCCGACACTGACGTCACAGCCGACACCAGACACTGGCACAGCGCTCTCCCGGGATGCGCCGCATATGGCGCGGGCGGCGAGGCCGCTAGAGACGCGAGCTCGACTGATAGGCGCCATTGTCGGCGCCACTCTCCGCGCCGTACGGGGGCGGCGGCCTGAAACAAACCGAGGGAGACTAGAGGTAGGCCGGCGAAACACAGCCGAATTAAGTACGGCACGGGCGCAGATACTCACCCGTAGCCGGGCTCTTCGAGAATGGGCTCAGTTCCACTGGGCAGCCTGAACAGTGCAAGAGGTGGTCAAACATGGTGCTAGAGTTCGCGGACATTTTGCTGTGAGGATTAAGGGCTTGAACGGCGTGATCAGCTGAGCTCAACATTAAAACCTGGGTGAAAGACACCACGGAAAATTGCATGTGACAAAATCACTCGTCTCTTTACACGTTCGCTCTAAAACACATCAGGACTCATGTATGAAACACCCTTACAACTACAGAACCACTCTTACAAACACGCTACACGCTATAGAAACACTCTTATAACAGGGTATGGCTGCTATCCTTTATGCGATTTGAGAAATGGCTGAAATGTCACCGGACCTCGGCCTTCACGGGAATAATCTTTGCGAATAATCTTGACCCACCTCAAAGTGCATTCCCTACTATCAGGAACATGCCATATATAATATACGAAGCGCACAGTACTTACGACTGAGCTTGGCGGAAAAGCGCGGCTATTTCCTCGAAAGTCTTGCCCTTGGTCTCTGGCACACGCTTGAAGGTAAAGCCCCAGAAGATGGCCAAGAGCAGCGAGAATGGCAGGAATGTGTAGTCTTCGAGAAGGTTCTGTGGAGGTGAAATCGGAGTTTGCATTATGGTTCGGGATGAAACGTGTAACACGAATTCATCATCACTCGAATTCATCATTCGGTAAGAAGCTCGCCGAACGGTTTACAGTCCGGTAAAAGACATGCAAACGTTGTTTGAGAGCGTCTGTTGTGATGTGACAAGACGCTTTGTTTTCGTTTGGGCTCGCCTTTTTCGTTAGTTTTGATCCGCAGCAAAATGGAGCCCTTTGAACCAACTGGATAAGAAAATAGTCATCTTTATCATACACAGTTAAATATAACTGTCACGCACGAATCGAAGGAAAACAGCTAATATAGGCCGTTGACCTAGGTGACCTGGACAACAAGACTCACGTGTCCACAGTAACATTAAGAGACCAATCATTCCTCTCCCACCTGATACAACGTCACCATTTATACAAATGCAAGTGTCACTATGCCACAACTATCAAAGTTTGAGGTAACATCAGTCCGCAAGTTATCAGCTACATCCCAGCTTGGTGGACTGACAACATCTGTAACCGGAAGATCCGATACAGCTGATGCGCGACGAAAGAACGCAAACTATTGCGGAGCTAGACGGGCAACCTTGTTACGTTGCGTGTAGGGGCAGAGCTCTCTGTCACATGTGTATCACATAGTGCAAGCGCAACACCCAGTTTGTTAGGGCAAATCGACAAGAACCTGTGGACGGACCGTTCCACAGAGCGACGGCCGACCGCGGGCCGTCTCCGGCACCTGTTTACTCCCCTCCGCCAGCTGTAGGTACGCTATCAGCGCAGGTGCGGGCGGCGGACCGATACGGTCAATATCTCCCGGCATTCTTCTCACACGGCCATTTACCAGGTCCAGCTCGGAGACGTGCTGTTATCGCTCAGTCAATGTACCCGATTGCACCCGATATTGCCCCCGATGTCATCAATCCTCCTCCCCCCCCCACCCCCTCCCCACACACACCTACTCAGCCGGCGCCGGTGCTGGCACTGGTCGAACAATCCAGCTCACGTGCCATGACTTTGCGCAGGTTACGTGAAAGCCCCGGATCGATCCACGCCCATTACGCCTATTTACCTATCGTTACGACCGCCGTGCCAGGACATTTTTGGCAGCAGTTGCTCTGTCCGCACATACATATGCAAGGCGTCTGGAAAAAAATGGTCTGGGCACAATGGCGATCTTCCCGGCGCACGCACGCGCAACCAGCCGTGCCCGATTAAGGGATAACACGATTCTGCGGCAGTACAGGCGACGTACACGCGCCGAAGAACAGCATGCATTTATCATGCCCGAAGCCTATTCACCAGCCTCGCCAGACATCGACCGAGTTGGCACGTCAGCCTGTTCGGCGCGCACTCCGTCGGAGTCGGCACCTCTTACCCTGCGGCCGGTGCGCACCCCGTCGGAGTCGGCACCCCTGACCCTGCGGCCGGCACGCACCCCGTCGGAGTCGGCACCCCTTACCCTGCGGCCGGCGCGCACCCCGTCGGAGTCGGCACCCCTTACCCTGCGGCCGGTGCGCACCCCGTCGGAATCGGCACCCCTTACCCTGCTGCCGGCACACCAAACCCCGCGGCCGGCGCGCACCCTGTCGGAGTTGCCCCCCACCCCCACCCAGCGGCCGGCGATTGCACTTTGCCTGAGTCGGCTCTCCTCATCCCATGACCGGCACGCACTCTGTCCTAGTCGGCTCCCTCGTCCCGCGGCCGGCGCGCACCCTATTGCAGTCGGCTCCCCTGACCCTACGGCCGGCGCGCCACACATCGATCCCACCAGTCACCTTCATCGGCAGGAAGGCGATGCCGACGATGAAGTTGCAGAGCCAGTTGATGAGCACGGCGATACTCATGGCAGCCGGTCGCGGTCCTGACAAACGGAGCGAGTGTCAAAAGTGGGGCGCTACACTCCCGGGCAATACGATTAAGCGCAAGCCAGAGGGAGGTTACCGACCATTTCAACAACAAACACTGAGGAAGCTCACTACAGCATTATCCTGTACACTTCGTCCGGTCCGGGGCGGATAGTACAGCTTGGCCCGTCAAGAGCAGGGTGGCGACGGTGGCACCAAGTTGAAGCGTGCCTGCGCCAAGGTCGCCGCGCCTCGTCGAGCGCCATCAGCCGCTGCCGACGGTGGTCCGAGCGGTTATCTAACGGGCCCCGGCCACCTGCTCTGCCGGTCGAGCGGTCGCCCGCGTCATACTAATCCCCGATGGTGCAGCGCGTGCAGCGTAATACAACCACGTCGGCCGGGGAGCCGATCCGGTCGGCGGCTGGCGAGGCAGGCGGCGCACCCGCCGACCCGCCGGACCCGGCCGCGCCGCTGACCGATTCAGCTGGCTGGCTGGACGCGTCCATCCGACACCGGGTTTCGGCAGGGGGGATGATAGGGGGGGGGGGTGGATCCAGCACGCTGACCCAGCCTTTGATTCTGGCATGTGGCCTGCCTCCCTCTCTGTTCCTGCGGCCTGCCTCCCTTTCTGTTCCTGCGGCCTGCCTCCCTTTCTGTTCCTGTGGCCTATCTCCCTGTCTGTTCCTGTGGCGCGCCTCCCTTCCTGTTCCTGTGGCCAGCTCCCCCCCCCCCCCCCTTCTATCCCTGTGACCAGCCTCCATCCCTGTCCCTGTGGCCAGCTTTCTCCCTGTCCCCGTGGCCAGCTTCCAACTTTGCTCCTGTGACCAGCCTCCCTCCCTTGTACCTGTGGCCAGCCACGATCCCTGTCTCTGTGGCCAGCCTCCATTCTTGTCCCTGCGTCGGCCGAAGTCGGCACGCACCCGGACCCCGCGGCGGGTTGCGATCCACGCATGGTCCTCCGACGGCACGGTCTGATCTCAAAAGGTTCAGTCTGGGATTCCGGCTCCCGTCAGCCCATACCGCGATGGAGTATCGGGCCTGCAGGCGGAGGAACGGGGTATCCCCGATTCCCGACTGCGACTCACCTTGTGAGAACAGCTCGGCCGTGATCATCCACGGGATGGAGCCGGGCCCGACGGCGAAGAACACGACGAAGCCGAACGTGCAGATGACCGCTAGGTAGGAGACCCACGAGATCATCTGCTTCACCAGGAACGAGATGGTGATGAAGACGGAGAAGAAGAACATGCCGCCGAGGCCCCACAGGTGGAGCGTACGCCGGCCCTCGCGCTCGATCAGGAGGATGGAGACGACGGTCATCAGGACCATGACGACGCCCACGCCCATGGTGGCGTAGCTGGCACCCTGCGCCGACAGGTGCGCGTCGACGAAGATGTCCGTCGAGTAGTAGAACACCTGCAGCACGGGCAGCACATAGTTAGAGAAGAAGTAGCATGCGGAGCGGTACCCCCGTGACGCCGGGGTGCATCTGGCCCCCGTCTCGCCCCAGACCACGCACCGCGTTGATGCCACTGAGCTGCTGTGACAGCTGCATCACGATGGCGATGATGAGGGGACTGCGCAGCGCCGGCGACTTGACCAGCTGCAGCATGGTGAAGCGCGCTTCGGCCTGCTGCGCCCGCTCCTCCGTCTTCATCTCCTCCACGTCGTCCTCGATGTTGTTGCAGTGACGCAGCTGACGCAGCGCTGCGGGAGACGGCCGGAACATGACAGGGAGCCCGACGCTGACCGCGCGAGACGGGGCCACAGCACGGCGGGACAGCGCAGCGCTGTGGGAGACAACCGGAGCATGACAGGGAGCCCGACGCTGACCGCGCGGGGCGGGGCCACAGCACGGCGCCAGCGCTGCACGCGCGGCGGCAGGTCACAGCTGGGCAGAAAAGCATCACAAACGAACGCGATACCTGGCGAATGACGAGCGAGAGTATCTAGGTCGATCGTATCTAGAACTAAACATGTCCGGTGCAGCGAAGGGTGACCGGTCCGGCGAACCTGGCTGATGTCAGTCAGCATAGGCGAGAGAGTTTCACGAGGGCACAATCCCGGAGACATGGCAGCATTTCTGTCGGCGTGAGCAGAGAGCACATCGCTCCACCTGGCTTCCGCCGACTGACCTTTGCGTGCCTCCTGCTCCTTCTGTTTGGTGATGAGCAGGTAGCGCGGCGACTCGGGACACATGGGGAGCAGCACCAGCTGCAGCGCCGACGGGCAGACGGCCAGCCCTGCGGCAGCGGCGCCCGTCACACCCACGCTCAGCTGTTAACATGCGGACACCACCGGCAGCGGCGACACTGAGGCGCGCGCGGGCCGCACGCCGCTCCCCGTGGTGGCAGCACAGAGATCCACCTCAGGGTAGGGCTGGCGAGTGGCTTCAGTTGTTCCCAACATGTTTCCCGTGTTTGCATCAGCAGCGCTAATTTCACCACATCCGATGACAGAATTCATATTTAACTCTCAGTGCACCATAAGAGAGGCGGCTACAGTTCATGCCAAAGGGCGCCGGGGGAGGGAGGGGGAAGGGGGACACCGCGAGCGAATCACGCTGCGTTCCACGACCCCAACATATCGATCAGGTCTCGACGCGACAGGGCCTCTGGAGCCACGCCCGGACTGTACTGTCGCCGGAAATAGATGCAATTTCAGCACGACGGACCAGGCTCGTGCATTAAATGCAGCTCGCCAAACTTGCTGGACCGGTCGACACACTGCGGGCCATCGAGCGGTCCGTATACTTGTGCCAATCACAGCTGTGTCTATTTAGTTTCATTTCGGTGTCCAAATGTCAAGTCGTGGTCAAGTGAGCTCAGGTCAATCCGGTCAAGTGAGATCAACATCTATCGGGCCGCCATCTGGTTTCCGTTGTCTGAGCCCGTATGTTATGTTGTGCTGCTCTGCTTGCTTCTATAATGGTTTCACATGTTAATGGCTGTCATCTTTAATTTGGTTTTTGGTACCAGATGCGTGATTATTATCATTAGTATTATTATCATTGCGAACCTTGGCGAAATTCAACCGGTGGCTTTTCTAACGCGGCGTCAGTATATGCTACATAGATCAATACATAACACGCAACACGTGCAAATGAGACGCAACACCAGCGATACACATACGACGTTATAAAACATGAGCGACTTGTGATACAATCAGCACCTGCACGTCATTGCCAGTTGGTCAATTTAGGTAAGCTCTCTGATGAAAGGCATTGCTTTACCCTTGAGCTCATTTACGTCTTCCCTCTTCTACTCTATCACTATCTGACCTAGTCTGTTCGTCTCCTCCGGTTTCATTTTATTTGGTTTTATTTAATTTGGCCTGTTCTGGTCTGATGTAACCCGTTTATTCCGACCTGTTCTGGTCTGATGTAACCCGTTTATTCCAACCTGGTCTGGTCTGATGTAACCCGTTTATTCCGACCTGGTCTGGTCTCATGCAACCCGTTTATTCCGACATGGTCTGGTCTCATCTATTCTTTGAGTTTTTTTACTCTGGTGTATTCTTGTCTGGACTGGGGTGGTTCGGTTTGGTCCAGCCTGGCCCTGGTACTGCTCTGGTTTGGTCTGCAACACACAACTCGACCGACCCTCCACATGGGTGGTCAGGCAACGCGCGCCCCGGTCACGTCCGACCCTCGGGATAACGTAAACGGTGGCATGCAGAATCCCACACGGAAAAATAAACCGGTTGGATACAATATTCCGCCGCCAATTGGACAGATGAATACGCAAGCGTGCGCGTGCGCGACTGCTCACTGGCCTGCAGAGCAGGCCCTCACGGCCGCAGGTTCGCGGCGGCCGGCGCCGCGCCACCCCGCCTCCGCCGCGCCACCCCGCCTCCGCCACCCCCGCGGCACCGAGCGGCGCCGATATTGCGGCCCGGCCAGCGGGCAATAAGGCTCCCCGGCGGCGTGCCTGGCGTACCGAGGGTCAACCATCCCCGCCTATCGTCCCGCAAGGCAGCGCGGCTGGCGCGTGCCGGCACGGGTGTGGAGGAGGCCACGTGCACGCCAGACCAGACCGGCCAGATGGAGCCGTCTAGGCGGCCGGCGGCCGACGCCCATTCTCCCACGAAGAGCGCGGAGGTCAGAGGACCTGCCCTGCAGCCAGTGCTCCGATGTCAGGCGCCACATGTACGAGCGCGAGCCACTATCTGTGGTGCTGACAGGAACGCAGCCCCAACACAGGGTCCGCAAGGCGCCGGCACGAGGTCAGGACAGGGTCCGTACGCTGTCAGCACAGGTCCGGAAGAGACGAGTATGGTGAAGGTATGGGCTCAGCAGTCAGCATGGTGCCGGCACAGGGTCCGTACGGGACCGGCGCGAGTAACGTCGGCACGGGCCTCCAGCGTCCATCGATGACAGACGCGAAGTCGGCACCAGATCAGCCTGAGATCGGTCGACTTCCACATAGGATCAGCACAGGAGAGCTCTCACGACCGGCACGGGGGTTTGGCACAGGACTAATGCAGGATCTGTGTGGGACCGACGCGAGCGGGATCGGATCCGTGAGAGATGGAAACCTGTATGGTGCCTGCACGGCATAGGTGCACGATCAGTTTCGTATCGTTGTGGGTTCGGCGTGATTTCAGTCCGGGTTGACAGTCCGCCGCGTGACAGCGCACAGGGTGGGGGGAGGGGGAGGGGGCACTGACGGTCGCTGACTGGCAGCGCTGGGGCACACGCGCACGCGATAGCAGGCTCAAGTGCGCCGATGAGTGGGGCAAAACTTGGACTGGATCTGACACCGCAGACTAACGCCGCCTGGCAACCGTGGCCGGGCGATACCGTCGGCGGCGCACTCACCTAGCAGCAGGGGCCAGCCGTCGTCCGTGCCAAGCAGCTGAGTCAGACCGAGCACCTGCAACGACGGCCGTTCAAACCAGCCGCCATCGAGCCGACACGTGCGGGACATTGGCACTGGCCGGTGAGCCATACACACACAAACTCGACAGTCATTCGAGCCGTCAGTCAGCGCTCTTCAAAAGAGGACGCGGCAGCCATCGAGTCTGCGTCTCAGGCGCTGACAGACGGCATTTCGACATAACCGTCGGCTGGTTCGGAGCAGTCAAAATCAGCCGACCTCTCGCCTCTGTCAGCCGGTCCCAGGCGCGATCGATCGAGTTCGAGAAGGGTCGATGCTGACCGCCCCGCCGATGGCCGCCGCCGCCCGCCCCTCAGCCGGCGGCAGCGTCAGTGTCGGTGTCGGCATCGGCGTCGGCGTCGGCGTCGGCGTCGGTGTCGGTGTCGGTGTCGGTGTCGGTGTCGGTTTCGGTGTCGGTGTCGGTGTCGGTGTCGGTGTCGGTGTCGGTGTCGGTGTCGGTATCGGCATCGGTATCAGTGTCAGTATCGGTGTCTGTGTCGCAGCCAGTGTTAATATTGGTGGCGGTGGCGGTGGCGGTGGCGGTGTCAGCGTCAGTGACAGCATCAGTGTCTGTGTCTGAGTCAGTGTCAGTGTCAGTGTCAGTCAGCGTCAGTACCTGAGACAGCAGGAGGCCGATGGTGACCGCCAGCTGGTTGACGATGCCGACGCCGCCGCGCAGGTTCACCGGCGCTATCTCCGACACGTACATGGGCACCAGCGACGTGCTCAGGCCTGGGGGAGGGGGCGGACGCGTTAGTCCAGCGCACGGACTTGGCGAGAGTCAACACTCGAGACAAAGCGGCGCAGCGGACAATGGCTGTCGGTGCGCCCCGGGCCGCGGTCATGGTGCCCGCCTGGGACCGTTCCCCGCCGCCGGCGGAGAGGGTCGCGGCGCCGTGTCGTCAGCAGCGGCGTCGGCGTTGCGCGAACGCACGCGCTATCGACAAAGCCCGACGCTCGTCCCACTGACGACAGACGTGGCCGCCGTCAATACTTCGGGCTGAAGACAGAGTCGTCCGAGAGCGCCGCAGCGTGGGAGTTCCTGCGCCTGACTCGCGCATGGGATGACCGCGAGCGGGGTTTACATAACACACACATTTTAACGACCATAACTTTGCGGGCGTTATGTAATTCTGGCGTTGTCAGAACTAGCTTCACGGACTATAACGTTCATATTAGTGCCTCCGCATACTGCAGGGACCAGCATGAACATACCAAGCGCAGCCGCACCCCACATTCCAGGACTCCGTCTGTTCTGTAACCAAAACCCCCGACTCGTCTGTAAGCAGCGCTCTCGGATGCGCACAGAAGTGCCCTGGACCTTGAAGTATGGACACATTCCTTTCCAAGTGCGCCATTGCACATCTAATCTTAGCGTCGGCTCGGCTTTGGCCTCCGCGGCTCGCGCGCTCCGCCCTACTGACCGCAGTTGTAGCCGATCACAAGTCGGCCGATGATGAGCATCTCGAACGACGAGGAGAGGTGGCTGAGTCCCATCAGGCCGGCGCCCACAATGCCGACGAGGTCGTTCAGCAGCAGGCCGCCCTTCCTGGAAGCAGCAGCACTCGTCGGTACGGCGCGGCGTGCCCGACGTCGCGGAAGGCGCCCGGGTAGAGCTTCCGCTGCTCCTAGCCCGGAGATCGGGACATGACAACGCCGACCGGCACATGCTGACTGTCTGATCCTGCTGTAGAACGTGGTGCACGAACCGTGCCAGTCCGCGCACGCCTGCATTTCGCTGTCCACCCAGCGTATTTAACTGATGACGCCATTCAAGGCGATGTAATAATTTGATCATAGGAAAAAGGTCAATAAATAATCATACCACGGTCGATGGCACAGATGTCTGGCCGGCTGCCGCTGTCGATACCGCCTGTACAGATCTCCCTCGCGGGTGAGGAGGTGAGCAAGCGTGATCTTAATGACCGCGGTGGGACGACGAAAAGGTCACCAACACCTAAATCCGTACTCAATTAAGCGCGAAAAGGTCCACGATGGCTTCAGATCGTCTCGAATTAAGCGGAAGCGTTATGGAGTGTTTATGAAAATGTTCACATCACAGCGCAGCGCGCGGTTCTAACGGGGGGGGGGGGGGGCATGTCTGCTGCAGGAGGCCCGGCGGAGCAGCTGCCACTCGCCATGCACATGCACTCTACAATAACAGCACTATCTCCGCCCCTTTCCGTGCCACAAGGCCATGTTCGAACCCTGCACGGGCAGGAGCGTAGTTCACTACAAGCGTTCGCTTGCACATACACTGAAGGGTATGTTATTACCGCTGTATGCACGTATGTACATGCACGTCACACCCCGCATTGAAACGGGCGCTCCGGCCGCGGCCGGCGTGGCCTGTATCCCAGCTCCCAGCAGCCGGTCGATCCGTCAGGCGCCCTGGACTAACCCTCCCTCCCCCACCCCGCCCCGCCCCCTGCCAGCAATACACGCCCATACCACGACAGTAAGAGCGGCAGAAACAGAGCAGGACAGCCCGTGTCAGGAGATGTCTTCGGGGAGAACTGCGCTGACCGATCATCCTTTACCCCCAAAGATGTGGTATTTTTAAATCATTTGGAACTGCATTTGAATTTTAGGTATGGAAGGGAATGCTACACAATTTATGGGGTTTTGAACCGAACTAGCCATCTTGAAGATTATCCGGCGCAGTTCACAGTCCCCCATTCTTAAGACCTAAACCCCTCTAATTTCTCAGCTAAATGCCCACAAAGATGAAAAAAGGTATTTCGCGGAGACTTTTTCAATGTCACCCAGGCATCCATGGAGCCGTCATGACGTCATTCAAATCCTGCTCTTCCGTGGCCATTCGGCGATTAAGACCAAGATATGTATAATTGTTCAGTCGTCTTTATCTGGCGTTCGTAAGAACAATTTCCAGATAAAACGGCCGCGTCAACTGGCTCTCAATCCATGTTGTGCAATGTACGATTACGTAATCAAACAAGGCTGTACTGAAGAGCATCTTTACTTAACAGAAAGATGGCGTTGTTCAGAGCAGTCTTTTTCACTTCAAAATATACCAATAATTATAATTAAGCCTATTTCATCACATCTGTTGCTTGTTTAAAAATCATCAAATGTGGAGCATCCCCTTTTCAACATCACGGCACCCGCAGACCCGGTGTAAAAGCCGCGGCTCCAGGGGGCGGATGGGTAAGGCCTCCAGTCTCAGAAGATCTCCAGTCTCGGCCGTTCCGCCCATGCGTCAGGCGTGGGCGTCCCGCCAGACCGTCAGGAGGTCGGGCCATGTGGGACATGGGGGCAGGGGACGAGGAGCATTCCGCGTCGCTCTCGACGCACGAGTCGCCGTCGTCGGCGCATCCCACGGCCGGCACCTGTCCTCTGAGCGGTCGGCCCGCTTGTGGGAGGAGGGGGGGGGGGGCGGGGGGGGGCGGGGGGGGGGGGGGGGGGGGGGGGGCGGGGCACCGGCCGTCAGGGCCCGACACCTGCCCGGATGTCCTGCCGCAACCAGCCGGGTAAGTGACGGGCGCGGCTGTTGTGACAACCTTCAGAGCGCGAGGTTACCCCGGACAGCCTCGGATGCCGGCGTCTCGTGCACCGCCGTGGTGACGGCGAGGGGATTACGTAACCGTTATATAACCGACGAGCCCTTTACCGGCCGCCGGCGGCCAACCACGGCGCCGGCCGCCGGCGTCAGTTGCAAAAACAAGATATGCTCTTCTGAGGAATACCACCGGCGTGAAGGCCAGACAGGACGAACAAGGACAGCCCCGCCCCCACCGGATCCGCTTGAGTAAAATGCAGCAATGCGGCGGCTCTTCTGGCTACGTCGGAGGGATGGCCAAAACTTGTGAAAGTCAGCCAGCCAACCCTATCTGACCCGTCAGCGTGATGTGATCGGACAGCTCCAAATGGTCCGGCAGCGCGATACGATCAGCCAGCCCCAACTGGTCCATCAGTGTCATACAATAGACCAGCCCCAACTGGACCCTCAGCGTGATGCGATCAGCCAGTCCCAACTGGTCCATCAGCGTCATACAATCGGTCAGCCCCAACTGGTCCGTCAGTGTGATGCGATCGGCCAACCCCTACTAGTCCATCAGCGTGATGCGATCGGCCAGCCCCAATTGGTCCATCAACGTGATGCAATTGGTCAGCCCCAACTGGTCCATCAGCGTGATGGGATCAGCCAGTACGCTAACTTAAGATTAACCAGGGAGACCTCTACAGACCATCTAACCAAAATGTCAAGATGCTGACAAAATGTGATGTCCAGATCCTGTACCCAAAATGCCTGAGCCCGATCCCTTATTTTTGCGGCATGACTGCGACAATATTCCGCAAGTAAGCACTGGCGGGATGCCTGCCCCAATGTGCAGAGAATGCCTACGCTAGGGATGTCGGGGTTGTGTTCACAAACAAACGCTTAGTTGCCATCATGTGTGACACGTGCCTGCACGGTCCTAGTAGGTCATATTGATGACACGGATTTGTTTTGCTCTGAAAGCAATCGAGGCGGACTTCCACACACGCTACACAACCTGATTTCGCTCCAGTGACATGATCCTCCACTGTTCGCTGGAGGTGACCACCAGTCACGTCAGTATTATTTCCTTAAACACGAGTTCTGGTAACGTTGGTTTAGACATATGTACATCAAGAAGTGCATAAAGGATGCGTTTTCTTTTGGAAATTAGCTGCGCAGCATCGTATAAAACAAGCTGGAGTGTGGGCTAGTGCCCAATGACGATGAAGGTAACGACGATGAGAAAATAGCACCATCTTACATTTTCCACAAAATACTCATATTTACATATGTACTTCATCAAGCATATATTTTGATATTTACATAGTACATTGCATCTAACTTTCAATGTCGTAGCAGCAAAACAAAAGGGGAGTGAAGGCAGCAATATCATGTGATTTGTGTAATGCGTTCTTTAATTGTTTACACACATATATATATATATATATATATATATATATATATATATATATATATATATATATATATATGGGTAATGGGTTAAATCACCTGAGAAGCGAAGCACATATCTTTACCCCCGAACAGAACAACGCAACCCAAGGTGATTTAGCTGATTACACTAGAGCGATGTTCTGTAACTGCGCAGATAATTCCTTTAGTGAATACATCTGTTTCTTTATACAAGCATCAGAACAATTCCGTTCCCTTCATGAGACTAAGATGTCCAGGGGTGCAGGCCTGTCATGAGCAGCCCCACCTGTGGTACACATTTCATGGAGGTTCTCTCGAACAGCTGTCGGCTATTTCCAGTCCAATGGCTGGGTAAAGGCACGTGAGCCGCCAGTCAAACGCTTACTTCGCCGTGTGCTTCGGGAGAGAAAGCTGTTCTCCAAGCATTCGGTGGCGAGGTCGCACCTAGGGTCTTGATAAGGGGGAGGGTAAGCAATCAAAAAGCAATGTGCAATGTTTCCCCCTGATGCTGACAGCCCAGCCCCCCCCCCCCCCCCCCCAGGCACTGAATAAGGCCCGTTTAATTTCTAGAGCACAATTTTCCCCGTTTTGTTTCTATTTTTACCTTATTTAACTAGGACGGATTATTAGGACGAAATACATAGGACGAATTCACAGCACGGATTACATATAAGCACCTCGAACTGAACGGATTAGCATTTACAGCACCGCGAATTAATACTGGATCTGGTGCTGAAACTGCAAGACTAAAGGTAAGATCACTATTATTTGTGTTGCCTTAGCTGCTTAAGCTCGGATGACGGTCTTTAACTATACTGGCAAAGTATATGCTGCAATCTAACATTTGACTGATGCCAATTATTTTGGAAGACTTTCAGAGACATTATTTCACGGCGGCCGTTTTGGCGCGCCCACGTGCGCCCGCCTGGTGTTATCTGAACTGGTGTTATCTGAAGAACTGGTGTTATCTGAACTGGTGCCTGGTGTTATCTGAAGCAGCCGGCGCCGTTCGGTTCCACGGAAACAGCAACCCCGACCATTGCTGTTCTTGCTCCTAAGATAGCAAACACGCAGGCCCAAAACGTGGTGTGTCATTGGTTTCACTAGCCAATTCTGCGAAAGGACAAACGTGCTAAGGCAAAAACGGGTTGGCCTTTGTTTCTGAGACAATATCGATCCACTCTATTGACACAAATGCGACCCACTGCCAGTTACGGGCAAGGGGCTCGTGAAATGAGCACCAGGGGTACATAATCGGTTTAGACCAAAGGCTGAGATGTCATTCCGTCCCAGCGCGGGGTGCCTATCGGCTGCCATTCTGGCAACACGTAGGGATCCCAAAGTCGATCCGGAGGCCCTTGGGTGATAGATACATCATACAATGGTTCCCCTCGCTGACGCGGGAGGCCCTTTGACCTGGACAGTTAGTCCCAAACCACGCAGGGGCTCTCATTGACGCAAAAATATATGCAAGGGGTTAAATAATCGCCCAGATACTCCAGTTCGGTTCAATGGCCCTCCACTGAACTGGGGTGTGCGGCTCCACGTTGGGTATCGGGCCTGCGACTGACACAGGAGCCTTTCGTTGTCTTCTTGTGCACTCTCGGCATAAGTTCTCATGTGCCATTCGTTGCCAAAGCGTTGTGACCAACGCAAGAGGCCCTTTGGGCATTCGAGGTCCCGTCCCTGTCCCTGTTCAGAAAATTATCCCCTGGCCGACTCGGGGGCCCTGCCGACGCATGCACCCTGTTGAGACGCTACGAGCCCCTGGCCGACACCGCGACCTCTCATTACTTCACGGTTCCTGACCAATGTAAATTGTGGGCTTGGCCTCGTCCCTGCTTGGTAAGTAAGTCCATCGGCTCAACCCGACATGACACAGATTGCTTGGTGTTGGTGATTTCTGGTCGACATGAGGGCTGTATTTCCCCAGGGGGTCCCCGAGCGGTGCAAGAGGCCATCTGTCTGACACTTACTCCCAGCCCTGGAGGCCGGGTCTTTAAGGTGACCCACGGCCAGGAATTCAGACCTCCGGTCCTCCAATAGGGCCTTAGCCTCTAACCTACTGCGGGCCCCTTGCCTACCCAAGGCCCCTCGTCAGGCATTGTGGACCCCTCGCTGACACAGGGGGAGGGGGCCTCACTGACCCAGCATCCCAGCCCAATGTAAATTGTGAGCTCAAGTCTTGTCCCTACTTTGGACATGGGCTCTTAGGCTAGACCGGTGTGGGGCCGATCGTTCAGTGCTGGAGGCGCCTGACCGCGATATAGAGGCCCTCATGGACCCAGAAGCTCCAAAGCAGGGCAAAGGGGCCTTCTAATCTGATTCTAATCTGATAAGGGGTATCGGCCCTGCGGGCCGAGACCCCTTAATACGACCTCCTTCCGGCCCTTGGGGCCTTTAATCGTGGCTCCGAGGAGCCTCGACGGACCACCGGGACCTACGGAGGGGAGGGGCAGGTGCCCCTTATCTGCTCCACTGTCTGGTGTTGACCATTACAAGATGCTACTGCTAATTGTGGGGTTTTCAGATTGTCGGCCATTGTTCGAGACCCCCGTGGTAAATAAGTTTCCCAGTCGGGATCTAAGAATTACGAGTGACTTTAATCCTGCTGGGGGAGACCTGCCAGTCTTGATCGGGCCGTAGCGCGTACTGACCTGCCGAACCGGTTGGCAATGTAGGCCCCTGAGAAGCCGCCGACCATGCCCCCGATGGCGAATATGGACACGGCCACCGACCACACGAAGTCGAGCGTCGAGCTCTGTATCGTCGTGCCGTACCGGGTCCGCCACACGTTCTTTATGAAATCCTCGATGATCTGAAACGCACGCGACGGCCGATTCCATCACGCGGCCAGCAGCCCGACACGACAGGAGCACAATGTGACGCACCAGCACGGAAAGAACGCGCGACAAGCTGCGCAGGGTGACATCCCGGGACCCATCTCGGAAAACAGCGAGAACATGGCAATCTTCAGTTGGTCCGCACCAAGAGAGGACCAGAGCACTGGTCCGCTCATGTCACCTCAGCATGACGTGCAGTTTTCTGGGACGGGACAGCTTAAGTTGCTGCGTGCCGACCACAGACTGCTTATCCGACATTGCACAACATTCCTGTTTTGCTCATCAGTTAGTCTTTAGCGGCAGGCCTCGTCGGCGAATAATGGTGCATGCAAACGGCCTGCATTTTCGGTGTGCAGAACCCGGCACACGGGTATCAATTGGCGTTACCATCATCCTCGACCCAAGATAGTTATCAGCCGTTCCTATTTTTTGCGGCGCGCTCGCCGGGCTGCCGCCGACGAAGGAATTTCCCCGAGGTCATGACTGTGCAGCCCCGGCGCAGCGCCCAAAAATGCTGCCTATCGTGACCCCACAGCCCGATGGCGCAGTCACGTGACCTGCGAGGTCACCTGACCGCGGCCAGGCCCCCCTCTCACTCACGTGCTGAGGGGCGTTGATGACGCCGGTGTTGTAGCCGAACTGGAACATGCCCAGCACGGCCGAGAAAATGGCCGACACCAGGAACAGCGTCAGGCCCTGTGGAAAAGACAGCATGTAAGTAGACCGTGCCTGTCATAAGATACCAAAACTAGTCGGTCCGGCTTCGATGCATGTCGGTCATCTGGTGTTTTTGGCCCCAGGACGCGTCGCCACAAATATGTACACATAAATGTGGTGCGACCAAAATTGTTATTCTCAGTAAGCGAGGTAACTTGAACATGATGCCATCTCAGAGCCGAAATATAAGTGGCCCTATCCGACAAACATTCGTCAAAATTAGAGAACCGATGCCGCGTGTCGCATGTCGAGATGGCGAACCCGCGACCGAAGGGTTTTTTCAACACGTAACACAGAGCGCCTTTCTTTTGATTTCTTTTGTGCTCAGGCCTCACCCCGGTCACCACCACTAATAACAATCCACCCGCCAATCATGTACGCTTTCTCTGCCGATACAGCAGTCCAAGTATTGCACTCAGACTGGGGCCAGACTCAGACCAGACAGCGGTCTGCTGAACGGGCCGGAAGACCTAGCGAACACCAGGCGCATGCGCGCCTCCTTAGGCCCTTAGCGCTGATGTTGCTGGCAAACTGGCGCGCGTACAAATACGGCGTATCCCCACATATTTGCGAATACATATAACCTAGTCTAATTCAAATGACGCTTATTCGTTATGATATCATATAAAATGAGATGAAGTACGTTGTGGCGCGTGAATATGTCATATATCGCATGTCAAGTGTAGTAATGACATAGGAGGACTTCAGCCCTGCCCGTAACTTTTGCTGCATCCCCGTCCAGCTTTGAGAAGAAAGCACGCCAAACCCGGGGAAGTCAATTTATTGGCGCATTTGGAGGGGAGGGTTTCGCCATTGCTCACTGTTAGGTCCACCTACCTCATTCTGCGAAACTACGCCGCTACCCCGACCTATGCTTCAGGCAACATAGAGCGGGTCAAAGGTGCTGACCTTGGGGTGAGGTTTTCATTGGACTGGGTGGGTACTTCGCATCAGGACACACAAGCGGGATACACAAACATGCATGGCATCTAATGCAATAGAGCATATATTTCGACGACATTTCCACGCAAACGCCGCTACGCATTACGATCTCAGTGTCACCTTTATGACGCGCTTGTAGTTCTCATCAAGCCAGATATATTGCCATTTATATAATTGCGCTCTTCTACATCACCACCCTTTTGTTCAGTTTGGTTGCTCAGTTTGCCCAGTTTGGCCAATAACACGAACAATTCAATTTCTCAGCTTAAGACCTTTCTTTCTCATGGCGAGACAAGACCGACCATTGGAAGCAAGAAGAAGCGCGTGTCCATGGCGCCGCTTCCACAGACGCCAGGATTTCGAAACAAGGACAGCATTTGTGGCGAACTTCAAATGGTTCTGCACACGTCCAGCTGTGTGCAGAACAGCTGGGGTGGGCCCGCCGCTGCCGACGGGCGGGGTTGTCTGTACAGTAGTGTATGCGGGTGCTGGTGCTGCAGGTGCTGGTCCACACGCCGAAGACACTTCTTGATCGAAGCTATCGTGCGTGAAAAGGTATCGCCGATACCGACTGCGTGACGCAGCGTTTGCTCAAGAAGTCGGGAATTGACAGTTATCGGGGCACTGATCTACTGCTTCTGCTGCAACGACATCCGCACGGCAGCAGTGGTATCATGACGCCCCAGATAACCTTTCTGCAAGGTTGGTATGCACCGTGTTACCTTGGATCTCACCTTGAGGTGTCTGATAAACAATGCACTGCGTTTTTAATGGAGTGGCCTGAAAACCACCACAAAACTTTCTTCGCAGCCCATGCATACCATCTGGGAGATAATGTAATAAATACACTTAATGCTGTTATTGTTACTGTAACTGGTTTCTAGTTCGGGAAAGTACAAATCGCATGCATGCATGAAACAAACTATGCTGGGAGGATGGAACGCAATATTTCATGATACCCAGAAATGCAGAAACTTTAAACACTATCAGATGTTGCTTCTTAGTTCTCTGTCGTGGTCACTGAAACGTGTTAGTGCAATGCATTTAAGGTTAACCATTGTTACAGAATAACCCTGCAATGCGATTGTGTACATCGTGCTTGTGGATAGGTATTTACATCCTCACTATGCTATGCTCGGTGCTTTTACATTTTTTGCTCTCACTCCCCAGGACGCAAAATCTGAGTTCAAGCATCGCTGGGAAATTTCGATTGGCCTCCCAGACAGCTTTTGACGGATGCTTGTATGCCTCTGCGAGAAATGGGTAAATAGTTTGCACGTAGAACATGTGAGCTGTTTTGCTATTAGCGTCGGGTATGTCGGCTTTGCTCTTTCACCGTCATCAATCATATTCAATCAGTCATCAGTAGTGACACATTAATTGCACCCTCATATTTCAACCGACGGAACCCTCCAGTTCGGCGAATCAGCACCCCCGCCTGCCATCCGACCCAGCCATTATGCTCCATCAAACACACACTGAGCTCCGCCCACCGGGCAGAAGCACGACCGCCGACGTCCAGAGGTCACAGCACGACTGCCCATTAGACGTCCTGAGGTCACAGCACGACTGCCCATCGGACATCCAGAGATCACAGCACGACTGCCCATCAGACGTCCAGAGGTCACAGCACGACTGCCCATCAGACGTCCTGAGGTCACAGCACGACTGCCCATCAGACGTCCAGAGATCCCAGCACGACTGCCCATCAGACGTCCAGGGGTCACAGCACGACTGCCCATCAGACGTCCAGAGGTCACAGCACGACTACCCGGAGGCCAAAGCACGCGAGTGATGCGTCCTTATACGTCAGTCCAAATGCCCTCACTACGCAAATGAATTGCACCTACACGCCGAGTCACGCCTCGCGTGATGGAAACAATAACCAGCCTGAGACGTTCCATAGAATGACTAAAATCCTAGGATTCCCTGCCCAAAACAGGTCATGTGAGGTGAAGTCGGATCGGGTCGGACCTGCTCTTTTCAGATCCGCTGAAGATGGGTGGGGTCACATCATGTCAGACCAGTACTGTCTCCACCTGGTTCGAGTGTTACCAGATCACATCGGGTCAGCTCGGGGTCCGGTCACGCGAGGTCAAACCTGACCAGGTCGCTTTGGGTCCGCCCAAAGTCCGCTCGGGTCGGGTCGGGGTGTCGTCAACACATCCCGCGTCGCATCGGGTCGGGGCGGGCTGGCTGGGCTCTGTCGGAACCGCGACCGGTCAGGGCGCGAAGTGAGCGGCCCCGCACCGTCCACGCAGAACCGGGACTTCCAGCCCGAGAGTGAAAGGTTGTCCGTCGTGGCGGCGGACGTCCATGCTCTGTTCGGGCTCCACGTCTGAACGTCTGGACTCGTCTGGACCGACGATGGCGCATCTGACGCGTACCGACAGCTGTTCTCTTGACCTCCAACGGCGCCGCGAAAAATAGACGGGACAAGACTTGTCTTCGCAACCAGAGGCTTCATGTCCGCACGCCAAATGACGTCTTTTAGCGCGATATCGGCATCCTGTTTATGTAAACACATCCTTCGTTAAACCAACCGTTTACAAAACTGTGTTTACATGACGGAGGGATGACTCGTCATACTGTGCTCAACGGCAGAACGTAATCCTTCCCTGGCCGCTGGTTTCCTGCCAAACAAAAACAAACACACTGCCCGCGCGACACGGACCACGGGACCAGCCCACACACCCCGAGCGGCGCCCCCGCTGCAGGGGGCTCCGTGGCATCCAGACGTGCCGATCGGTGCGTTACGTTCGGACCCTGTGACAGCGCCGGCTTATCTTGCCGCCCGGTCCGGACACGGGCACTGAGTGACCTCCACGGCCGAAGATCGACATCGCGTGACGCAGCGTCCGTCACGTGACACGTGCGCCGTGCAAGCGTGCCACCGAGTCGGTCCTGGTGTCACGAGCACGGAGTAGCGCGGGTCGGCGAGAGCCCCGTGTCATGCGATGACACGCCGGGCGGCACGCTTCATATCGGGGGTAGCCACGTGACGCGCGGCGGATAATTGCACCGGACCATTGGCGGCTGGTGGATGAACCGCGGCGCTGTTGATTCGGTGGATAGCGTATCTCGGAATGGGTTTTAATTTCCGAGCCGATCGATCGTGACGTTGCAGATCGGTGAGCAATGCAACGTCCTTTAAACCAGCGAAGCAAAGTTCGACATGCCACAGGGCACTGTCTTCGGAAGGAAACGCTTCACCGGGAAGGACTAGGTGTCTAAATGAGACAATATTGATGTGACACCCGTGGGACGCCATTCATCCCACCTACCTTCCTCGGCGACGGAGGATTCGCGAAAACAGCGGGCTCATCTGCGGCTTCGTTGCCCATCTTGGGACGGCCGAGCTGCAAGTACAGTTAAAGCTGCAGCGTAAGAGCCCGAACGCCACCGGCCTGCACTTTCCCTGTCCACGACCGGCGCGGGATGCGCTCCGGGCGTGTTTTCGCGTCAGCGGGGCGATCGAGGCCTATCGTCCAGAGGTCGCGGTCACCAGCACACGTTCGAGGCCTCGGACGGCCGGCCGGCCGGCTCCTACGAGACCTCTCGCTGACGAGCGACGGATGCCGCCTCGACCCGACCTCCCCTGCGACTACCTGCCGCCCAGCGAGCCCCGGCTGCGCTCACGTCGTAGGTTTACTAGTGCGCATGCGTGGGCAGCCAGCCAGCCAAGTCAAGGCCGACGAAAGTCACAGGCGGTCCGACGGTGATAGGGGGAGGGCACCACTGGGCCGCTTCTGGAGGTGGCAGGGGTCGTTGGACCGCTGCACTTCCCGTGTGAGATGTGGCTTTCCAATCGGGAGTAACTGCTGCTGGCCAGTAGGCGTCCCACAGGCTGTCATTGGGACACACGTTGCCGCGACACGGGGTCGGAGGCGTGTCGCGCACGTAAAACATCGCGCTGTGGTCCCGCCGGATGTGTCAGATGATGCCCTCTGAGACGCCCTCTGGCGCCCTCTGAGACGCCCTCCGACGCCCTCTGAGACGCCCTTTGAGACGCCCTGGGGTAACTGAAGTGCGTCTCG